CTGTTTTCGAAACTCTGGATTGGGGTTGCAACATTAATTCTCTTCCTGGTCTGCCACGGTTTTATCCTGTTATTCTTTGTCCCCCGCGCTGACCGTGAGTACGGTTGAGTTTATTAGTGCAATTACAAACTTCATCAGACCTTTGCACTCCAAACATGCTTGCTGTCCTCAAGGCGTAATTAGGCGTCTTAATTACTCTGGTACTTTTCAACAGGAATAATAACATTATGAATGGCATTTATTTGCAATGCAAAAATGTTTATTCTATGAGCCTCTCCTTATTTGTTGCAGGCTCAAATAAGGCAGTCTCCCCCGTTTCCATGCTTTAAATAACGTCCATTTCATCAGAAAAGGCTAAATGTCTTTGCCACAACACAATATGGTTATTCTTCGAGGTGCCCACTTTGTTCTTTGTGTAATAAATAGTCCAGCATGGAAACCGGTAGATTGGTGAGTAGAGAGACTTATGGATCCTAAGGAAGAATAGCAGATTCAAATAGCTGAAGCATTACCAGACAGTATGATCTTTCTATCAAGCTTTGGAGCTGTTTGTTTAATAGTCTCATTCTGGCTATGAGAGTTTCCCCATCTTTTATAAAAGCACTTGTGGTTTTATCTTGGATCAAACGGGTCAGTTTTGCCATATCTTCAAATTCTGTCCTCGATCCAATCCTCCATTGTGGTTCTTTCAGTGTTTGTCCATCATTGTGCAGCTCTTGGACAGTTTTCCAAGACAAGTCCGGTTCTTTGTAGCATTGCCTTAATGTCACTTGCCCAGTCACAATGATTGACATATTGCAATGCATTTTGAGGTGAAGCCCCCTAAAGTGGGTGTGGCAAGAATTGATACATTCCAACGACTCCTTGGTTTTCTGCCTAACTAATTTTTACTTGGTCCGATGCTTGGGTGAGCAGCAAAATGTCTCACAAAGTTTGGGCCAGTGGCCATGATTCAATCTTTAGACTCCTTTGGTCTGGATGATTTGAGCCTTCATTGACATATTGCAAGCCATTCTGGGGAGAAACCCCTGAAGTTGGTTTGGCAAAGAGTTGGCACATTCCAACGACTCGCCGACTCTGCCTAACTAATTTTGTTCTGACTGTTGAAGTTGCTTGGAAGAACAACGAAACATCTCAGATTCGCAAAGTTCAATTCAGTGGCCACGATTCAACCTTTAGACCCCTTTGGCCTGGATGATTGAGTCTTCATTGACACGAACATTCTTTCTTCTTGCGACCGTTCCTAAGATGAGGGGAAGCTGTCCTCTGTTCTTCGGGATCGTCAGAGCAAAGGAGGAAATGCTGCAGCCTCCATTCTTTCCTTGCTAGTCAAATAATGCTGACATCCAAGGTGATTTTGGAGAAAACTCTGGATCAGCACTTCCCGCACCAACGTTCTCCCCTGGGAACAGTAGCTGTGCAGCTGTGGAAGGTGACGCATCTTAATGACTCCTTCCCATGACCGTTGCTCCCAACATAACGAGCAGCAAAGGATGGAGAAACCACCAATGTCAGAATGTGAGAAGGAACAGGTTGAAGCAATGTCTACAGCAGTGGTTCTCAACCTGTGGGTCGGGACTCCATTTGGGGTCGAATGACCATTTCATGGGGGTCGCCAAACAACGCAGTCCGCCATTTTTCCCCCCTTTTCCTTAGCTGTGCTACTCCCTTTTATTCTATTGGCTTTGGAAAGCCAATAGAATAGACTCTCTTGAATAGAGTCTAATTCTGTTGGCTTTCAAAAGCCAATAGGAATTGTCCAGGCTGTCTCTGCCCTGCTGAGCCCACCAAAAGTCCCATTCTGCAAACGGTGCTGCACCAGCTGAGTAGTCCTCGACTTACGACCGGTTGGGGGTCGCGGCATTAAAAAGGTTGAGAACCACTGGTCTACAGAAACATGCCTGTTATGCAGCCATCAACCTCCAAGGTTGAGACTAAGATGGAAGAACAGCTTCCCCAAAACTTCCACCCACCCACCCACCTGTTAACAATCAATTACCACAGACCATCCTGGAACTATGGAAGACAAGCTACCAGGCAATTTGGCACAGCCATATGACGGCCATGTGGTCAGGCTTGGCCTGTATGAAAATCCCTATACTTGAATGCTGGAGTAGGAAGATCGAAGGACAGAACAACAGACTAACAGGCTTTGGAAAGGTTCTAGTCCAGCCCCCTGCTCAAGCAGGAGACCCTATGCCATTTTAGAAAATGGTTGTCCAATTTCCTCTTAAAAACCTCCAGTGACTTCTAAAGACAGACTGATCCATTGATAAATTGTTTTTTCAGGAAATTTCTGCTTAGTTCTAGGTTGGTTCTCTCCTTGATTAGTTTCTATCTGTTGCTTCTTTGTGCTGCCTCGAGGTGCTTTGGAAAATAGGTCGAACCGCCCTCTTTGGATAATCTAAAAAAGATGGGGGTCCCCAATAGAAGGTATGTGTGAATGTGGAGAAGAACAATTGATCTCACATATGCTCTGGTGCATACAATGTCCTTCAACATATTTGGGGGAAGACCTCATGCTAGTGAGAAAAAAAACACTGTTGAGGTGGCCCAATACTGGGTGAATGTCATTTAGTTTTAACCCTACTTATTATTTTACCTGTTCTTTATATCTGCTAATGTTTCCATAAGCATATTGGTTTGGGATGTTCCAGAATGTGCCATGAGTCTAATAATCCCATCTTTAAAATCTCCCATCAACCTGCCAAAATGCTTACTGTAAGGCAGTGGTTCTCAACCTGTGGGTTGGGACCCCATTTAGGGTCGAACGACCATTTCATGGGGGTCGTCAAACAACGCAGTCCGACATTTTTTTTCTCCTTTTCCTTAGCTGTGCTACTCCCTTTTATTCTATTGGCTTTTGAAAGCCAATAGAATAGACTCTCTTGAGTAGAGTCTAATTTCAAAAGCCAATAGGAATTGTCCAGGCTGTCTCTGCCCTGCTGAGCCCGCCAAAAGTCCCATTCTGCAAACGGTGCTACACCAGTTGAGTAGTCCTTGACTTACAACCGGTTGAGTAGTCCTCGAGTTATGACGAGTTGGGGGTCGCGACATTAAAAAGGTTGAGAACCACTGCCGTAAGGAATAGGATCAGAAATTTGCACAACTGGAAAGCTTGGGTATGAGTCATCTGCTGAAAATCCTCTGCCACGTGGAGGTAGCCATGTGCTTCTACTTACGTTGTGCTTGTGTGTTGTATCCACCATGCTCTTCTATGGCACAAGATGAACATTGGATAATTGCTAAAAATCTCTGGTTCTTCGTTGCTTGCTGGCAAATTCTGCTTTGCTTCTGAGTAACGCAATGAGTGAAATGTTCCTCAGCAGACCACAAGTGAATTTTAGTAATATGAGGCAGAGAGAAAGGGAGGGAGGGAGGAGGGAAGGAAGGAAGGAAGGAAGGAAGGAAGGAAGGAAGGAAGGAAGGAAGGAAGGAAGGAAGGAAGGAGGGGGAGACCTTCTTGTCTGATCTTCTTTATATCTTTCTCTGCTGAGCAAGAATGATGGAACAGACAATACTCTGGACTTTTAGGAAATGTACCAGGATTGGCTCAGTAACGACAAGCTCCAACAGAACAGCATCCTTTAGCTCAAAGTTGAACTGTAGGGTCCTTTCTGTTCTCTGAGTTTGGTAGTTTTTTGTTTTGTTTTGTTTTGTTTGCAGATGTTTCATTACCCAGTCACATCATCGGTGCTAGAAGGGAGTGGGGTTTGCTCTCTGTTTATAGATAAGCCTTTTCATTCTCTCATCTTGAATTATGTGCTTCAACTCCCTAAATTATTTATTGTCAAGGCAGAGCTGATCACTGTGAGGTGAATATTACTTTAACAGACTGGGGGTGTTTGATGCTTTCCTCAAGCACCAGTGCACGTGGTCTACAATGTGGCCAACTTAATCTTTATTTCTGACCGGTGGGGGTTCGATTAAGTAAGCAATCTCAGAATGCCACCCAAATGTGCGTTCTTTTATCAGATTCTTTCTTATTATGCTTGTGGTTATTGAGTGCCTAAAAAACGTAGCAAAGAACCAAAGTGTATGAAAAAGCTGGGCGATCGTGGGGATTGTCCACACATCGATGGTTGTTGCTGGCAAGGGTTGGCTCAGGGAAAGAGATGGTTCCCCCATCTTTGAGAATGGAAATCCCAACATGCTTAACAGCAACCACAGATTCCATAGATCAAGTAGGTCTCCCTTCGGAATGGGACAACTGGCCAACTCACTATGGCCAACTTGGGACAACTGGCCAATTCACTATGGCCAACTTGTCACGGCCAACTCACCACAGCCAACTTGACACGGCCAACTGGCCTTGGCCAACTTGTCACACCCAACTATTATGGCCAACTCGCCATGGTCAACTCGCCATGGCCAGCTCGCTGTGGTCAACTCGCCATGGGCAACTTGCCGCGGGAAAATTTAACAATTCAATTTAATTATTTAAAAAAAATAAAAAAAATATTTTAATTTTTGTCACTCACATTTCATTTGTGTCCCTCCTTTTGCATCCTTTCTCTAATAATTCTGCTCTACCATTTCTCCGACATTAGGGTAACTCTTGCTCCACAGTGAGTTGCCCTGCACCCACTTGGCCATGGTGAGTTGGCCGTGCCCAATTGTCATAGACCCGTCTCCCTCAGCCCATTGTAGAATTCTAGATGGCCCGGAGGGTCTGTTGGGTTGTACAAGCTGGCAATGTGTTCAGCTTTGTGATGATGAGGAGATGGGATTCTTTTCGTATTGGATGAGTTCCTAACAAGATGGCCATGACATGAGATTGTGCTTCTCCGGTTGGCAAACGGGATGAAGAAGGGCATCAATCAGCCAGGCAAACTGGGCATTGTGACAGGAAAGGCCACTTGGTATGTATATGTATGATGTGGGAGGCACATTAGTCTCCGGATATTTGTGGAGAGCCAGATGCCAAATGCAAGACAATGTGCATTGTTAGGGATTTCAATTTTTTATTCTGGATCTACACTTTCCCTTCTGATTCTTAGGTGCATTTGTGACGGCTGCCACCTTGACAGACCCCAGAGATTGAAACGGGGACCTCCAGAGCTGAAAGCGTGAGTCTCTACAGCTAAAGAGCCAGGCTCTGAAATAGGCTGTAAAAGACTCTCATTCTTTTCGTGGACTAGCCACAGAAAGGGAGAGTTCACATGGCAAGATGGACCCCTTCCCTCTAGTCAAGGTTTCCCTATCTGTATCAAGCCAGTCAGGAATATATTTGTTCTTTAGCCCTCCAATTACTTTCCTCCTGTTCCAGGGTAGGAAGAGCTGCATCTGATTATGATTTTTCTGCCTGAGACAGATTATAACAACTACACACCCTACCTCTGCACCAAGGTGCATCGTATTTAACACTGGCCAAGTTTTGTTTTTTCTAACATCTGAAATAAAAAAAAGAGAGAGACATCATCCTAAGGACTTATGGGAGTCCTCAGCATCCCTTGGGGAAGACAAAGAGCGTAGATTATGACCCAGGTGTGATGATATCACACTCGTGTGTTACAACCCCACTCTTGCTTTAGACCACTATGTTATCCTTGAGCGAATTCATTATTATACTTGTGTCATCATTATTACATTATTACATCATCATGGTTTGTTGCAGACCCCTGCTGACAGTCCCTGGAAGATGCTTTTTTTTTTTTTTACACTGCAATGAAGCTAAATTATTTGATGCTTGCAGGATCCAATCTGGGTCAGTTACCGGGACCAGAGGTTTATTGCTTTCCATGTGGGAGCGTCTGTCTCACCAGAATGTGTGCTTTGGGCTAGTCTACCCATAGTATTCGTGTGGTGCCTGGTTGTATGTGGCCGATCAGTTGGAAATTGGGGTGCTGACGGCCAGCTATTAAGGTGTTGGCTATTGTTTCCTTGTGCTGCCAAGTCCTCTGGCTCCTAAGTACCGGATAAGCTGGTGGCACAGAAGCACTCCTGTGGATTGACAGGGGGCCCGTTTCCCAGGCTTCAGTCATTTCCCTGGCTGTTTTTGGATCTGCTCGGCCAACAATCTTAGTAGCTTAGTGACTCCCAACACAGGTCCGAATGCTCATAAGACTGAAACCTCTGGTCCCAGTGACCAACCTAGATTGGATACTGCAACAATTGATCCTGGGACACAAATATTTGATTACTTCACTGCCTAATGTTAGTTTGGGGACATTTGCAAATGGTTCATTTGCTTCTTCTCTTCAATCACGGTGGGAAATGTTGTGGACAACCCCATGGCAGGTCAAGAGGAGTGGCAAAATGAAACGCACCAAGAGGAGTAGGAAACATTTGCAAAAAAAAAAAAATAAAAAATAAGGGTGTTGCAGAGGACAGGATGAAACGAATGGACAACTAGAATTTCTAGCCCATTTTTTGTCCCAGGACCCCACAGTGGAAGCTACATTTGAACTTCATCCCTCTTTTCTTTCTTTCTTTCTTTTTTTTTTTTTTGGTAATTCTCTGATGAGATGATGTACTCTTATTTACACATTAACGTTACAAACAGGAGCCTCTTCAGAGCGAAAATAGATTTTTCAACCTTGTCCATTGAAGTCAGTCCAACTTTAGATGTCTACATTCTGGAGCTTCCTAACCTGTTTTAAGAAAGTATATAGGTCAACTTCCTCTTGTGAATCTGAGAACAAGCTACCACTATCTATTCTAGCACATGATTTTTTAAAACTTTGGCAGGCTGAGGGCCCTGTTAATTGGGTTTTTTTGTTTTGTTTCGTTTCGTTTTCTTCAATTTCAAACCAGATCAAGAGTTGAAAATTGGTTGCATTTTGACTGAACTTTCCCCCCCCTTTTTTTTTTCTTTCAATAAATCCCACCAGGTTCTCCAAGAACTTACAGAAATGAGATTTTAATAGCAGATAAAAGAGTACGGTATTAATATGTGCAGGTTTTAGTCTTTACAATGGCTACACCCTCATAAGATCTAATTCTATCAGATTTGAAATGAGTCATTTCTTATGTATAAATGACCCAAGATAGGGTTCCACTTTCTGATATTTTCTCCCTTCTTCCTATTCTCCTTTTTTTTTTAAATCAATCTCTCAATAACAAAGTAAATATTACAGCTGCTATTTGGTCCATAGCATGTTAGTGTATTTTAGCTATCTAAAGCCGCCGTCTGAAACCATCTTAAGTGGAGCCTTTTTTTTTTCTTGTATCTAGACAACTTTCCTTTCTTTGCATTGCTTGTAGAAAGTCTTTATATTTTATAATGAAGTTTTCTTTCCTTCATAACTATGACATCTGTTACTCTTTAAGGGTGGGGTACACCTATGCTAAAGGGTGGCCCTCAGCATAAAGATTCTTAACCGTGAATCATCATTAAGGAAATATCTCAGACCCATTCAGTTCTGCCATATGTGTTCTTCCTTTCTCTGTTCCTTTGCATCACTCATTTTCACCCAATAAGGAGAGTTGCACCAATTCAATCTTGACCCTTTGGACTTGCACCCCTAGCAAACCATGGGAGCTGCATGATCGGCTTTTAATCATCATGGACACATCCACTTCCTGTCCTTCAGTGTTGCATGTGAGCACAAATATTTCCTTTTGTGCCAGCGAAATGGGCACTTTTCATTCTCCAGCATCAGCGGTCCTAGCAACAAATGTCCATGGAGATTCTCCAGCCATCTAGGTCATAGTTATCCCAAAGGTGCTTTTTCACGAGGCAACTGGACTTTCTTGTTTTTCTTTGAAGACATTTCGCTTCTCATAATAATAATAATAGAGTTGGAAGGGACCTTGGAGGTCTTCTAGTCCAACCCCCTCAAGAATCTTCTTCAGCTCTAGACTGGATGGTGGGGAAGGGAAGGATTTATGCTCCTTGCAGACCGCTGGGCATTTGCATTCTTTTAGAGCAGCGGTTAGCAACCTGTGGGTCGGGACCCCATTTGGGGTCGAACGACCATTTCACGGGGGTCACCAAACAATGCAGTCCACCATTTTTTCCCCACTTTTCCTTAGCTGTGCTACTCCCTTTTATTCTATTGGCTTTTGAAAGCCAATAGAATAGACTCGCTTGAATAGAGTCTAATTCTATTGGCTTTCAGAAGCCAATAGGAATTGTCCAGGCTGTCTCTGCCCTGCTGAGCCTGCCAAGAGTCCCATTCTGCAAATGGTGCTGCCCAGTTGAGTAGTCCTCGACTTACGACCGGTTGAGTAGTCCTCCACTTACGACCGGTTGGGGGGGGGTTGCGGCATTAAAAAGGTTGAGAACCACTGTTTTAGAGAGTCATTGAGGCCACCTGGAAGTTTATCCAGGTGGCCTCAATGACATCCAAATAAACCTCCAGGTGGCCTCAATGACTCTCTAAAAGAATGCAAATGACCAGCTGTCTGCAAGGAGTATAAATCCTCCCATTTCTCCACCATCCAGTCGGAGCTGAAGAAGCTTCTTGGATGAGAAGCGAAACGTCTTGAAAGGAAAAACGAAAAAGTCCAGTTGCCTCCTGAAAAAAAAAAAAGCACCTTTGGGATCATAGCAACAACATTGAGCAAATCAGATAATTCAGCCCAACAGGAGCTGCAGCCCTAGCTTTTTATTATTATTATTATTTAATGCTGTGTTTATATCCAACCTGAGAAGCTATTCAAGTCTATAAATATTAGCGTTCCCCAAATTTCGTACTCGCATGTCAGTCGCTTCGCTTTTCCACGTCTTCTCGTCCAAAGGTGTTAGAGGCGTGCTTGTCCCTTATGCAGATCAAACAGATATAAGAGGGAGATGACAACCAAGAGGAAGTAATCTGTTTTGGTGCACATTTGTTCTTGCGGGCATGAATTAGGCACACATAGGTAGTCCTCGATTTACGGCAATTCGTTTAGCGTCCGTTTGAAGTTACAACAGCACTGAAAAAAAGCAAGTTAGGACCATTTTTTCACACCTACGACCGTTGCAGCACCCGCATGGTCACACATGATCAAAATTCGGATGCTGGGCAATGGACTCGTATTTATGACGGTTGCGGTCTCCCCCGGGGAGTCACGTGATCCCCTTTTGCAACCTCTGACAAGCCAAATCAATGGAGAAACCAGAGAAACCATGTCCCTAACTTAATATCTGCAGTGATTCACTTAATAACCATGGAAATAAAATGAGGCAAAACTTGCTCGACCAACGTTAAACTGAAATTTTTGGGCTCAGCTGTTGCCGTAAGTTGAGGACTATCGGTAGAAGGTTAAAATACGTGCCTGAGGAGAATCTTAGGAGAGCAGGAAGACTACTGTAGTGAATTTGAAATAAGATAAGATAGCCTTTATTGTATTTTTTTTTTAATGTGGGCACATTGGCACACGTTAAAATGAAATTTAGTCGCTTGTTCTCGTACACCTGTGTACATAAATGTCATCACTATCGGTGGTTGGATGAATTAATCCTGATTTCTACCATATTCAGTCCTAGGATAGGGAAGACCATGGATACTTAGAGGGAGGCATACAGTTTCTGTCTTAGTCTGCCAACCTTGACTCATCTATAAAAGGAAATTTGTAATAAGACACCCCCCCTCTAAATCCGATCAGCGAATATAATTTCTAGAAAGAGAGACAATCCTCATTAGCTGTGACAGAAAATACATCATTTTCAACTCAGGATTTCAATCATACAGTCATTTACATTTGTGTCATTTTTAAAAAAAAAAAACGTTCCAAGCCTATCCTTTGTATTATTTTGTTTTATTTTATATATTTGTATCTCAATTTTTTTATTATTTTTTACAAATAACCCACGGCAGCAAACACATACAAGATTCCTTCTTTTATTATCCACAAGCACCAACTGGTGAGGTGAGGTGAGTCGAGAAAGAGAGAGCGATTGGCCCAAAGTTGTCAGGCTGGCATTCAGGCTTAAGGCAGAACTAGAACCCACAACTTCTTGGTGATTGGCCCAAAGTCACCCAACCAGCTTTCACTGCCTAAGGCGGGACTAGAACTCGCCGTCTCCCATTTTCTATCCTGGCACCTTAACCCGCTCATATTAGTATTGGGTGAGCCCATGGCCATCCTCAGGATTGTTATTTCCGGATTGAAACGAGGGGAGAAAGGAGAGAAAGCGGGACGCAGAGAAAGAAGTAAATCAAGATGAAATTTCCATCAAGGCTTTGCAAGACAAAGCCGAGTCTTAGCCACCCTGCCCCAGTAGCTTTCATGCAGAAACCCAGTTCACACATACCGTGTTTGGTTTGCTCCTGATGGGACCGGAGTCTCGTTATAAATGGCTCTCTGATTTTTGTTCGATCCAAGGATTGCTTTGAGCCAGGATAGAAAGCGTTGGCCATGAAGGGTTACAGCAAAGCTCAGATGGCAAGAAACACGGGTGGTCCCTGAATTATAATCGTTCACTTAGTGACTGTTTCAACTACACTGAAAAAAAGTGACTTAGGACCAGTTTTCACCCTTAAACAGCCGTTGCAACTTGGTCACCTGATCAAAATTCAAGTGCTTGGCAACTGGCATGTACTTAGGACAGTTGTGCTGCCCCGGGTTCGTGCGATCCCTTTTTGTAACTTTCCCAGCTGACTTCTTCTGACGAGCAAACGCAGTGGGGGAAAAGCCCGAATCCCAAGGCATACACATATTCTATTAGGTACCTGCATCCAAAACGTGCTGTGCCAGGCGCTACTTGGACGTGACGTTGGCCCCCCAACATTTACCCCTCACCTGGTTTCATTCCCCTTTGCTTTTTGTCCTCATTGTCATCCACGTATTGTGCTCCCTCTTCAACCCCATGCATTTCTTCTCTCCCTGGCTCCAAAAACAATCCCTGCTCTCCACAGCCCGAGAGGAACGAGGATCTCCTTCAAGGTTTCCATCTCTGTCAGGAAAGTCCACCGTGTTAGCTTAGAAGGGAAACCCTTTCAGAAATGAAAAGAAGTCTCTTCTCCCCAGCCCTGGCAGTCATTTATGTAAAAGTATTAAAAGTGTGACTTGATCTACCACGTGTGTCTCTCCCCCTTTCCCCCCCTTCTCTCTCTCTTATTTTATTATAGTGATGGATCATTTCCTTATGACTCTGTTCCTTGGCAACAAAACAGTAACCAGCCACCAGGCTCCCTATCGGTGGTCACGACAGTATGGGGTGTGACTAACACATCCCAAAGCCAGGTAAGCATCTTTTTTTGTAAGTCTTCTCTCTGTTTCTGTTTTTCAGGGGTGGTGATGTGGTTCCGACTAATGAAACATTCCAAAGAACTTCCAGGCATTTATTTTCCTAAAAGTCTTTTATTGTTACAAAATGTCGGCACAGGCACAATGGAGGGATGCTAGGATCTAAGTTCTCTTCCTCTGAGCAGTTAAATTATCAACATGTTCCCTCCCTAAATTAGCCCTCATATCTCACACTATCCAATTAGTGTGAAGGTCAAAGGTTTTCTTCCTCTTTGTTTCCCGGGCTTTACCCCCAAGGTCCCTTCTGCTCTTTATTTAACCCCATATTTACCAGACAATTCTGCATATTGTCAAAAGCAAGAATATACAATATTTGCAGCGTTGACAGGTGGTCAGGTTGATGCCCTTCCTGCCTCCAAAGGCTGAGCAACGTTTGGTTAGGGTACAAACTTGATTCAACAGGTAGTGTTGCTCACTATGAAGCGTCCTCTTGCTAGGATGAAGATACATCAGGGGTCCACAACTCCACTACTGGACCATGGCCTGCTGGCCACTGAGCCACGGGGCAGGCTGCCCGGTGCACATACGTGTGTGCACGCACTCACCCCCACTCGGGCTAGTGCCACAATAAAAATGGGGCACCACATGGCAAAAACAGGGCACTGTGCAGCGAAAATGGGGCAGGGCTAGTGAGTGTCATGCGGGCACTAGCACTGCCCCATTTGCCGCACGCGGGCACTAGTGCAGCCCGCGTAAAATGCTTGCCCCTCCCTTGCCCTCCGGTCCACCAGCTGAGAAAGGTTGGAGACTTCTGAGCTAAATGGTTTATTGGATTTCTGGACTGCTACTGTCCAATTTTAAGTAGACCATCTGGGACACGTTGGTTTACTGGGACCTGTGCAGTTGGAAGGTCCGTGGGATAGCTCTCTGCTGGATATTCCTTCTGAAATAAAAGTATGTACTCATGAGTACTGTGTTTCTAGAATTGTTAAGGCACGTCTCTCTTTGTAGAGAAGCACTCATTGAAGGCCACAATAGTTTTACAGATTGAAAAGGACGTAAGTCACAAAAGATTGGATGTAGCCCACCTCTGTTCTGTGAATGGCCAAGGGATGGATGCCAATAGATCAGGCACTACAACCATTGGGGAATCACAGGGTGTTGAAACAAGCAATAGAGATTTGTAGACATAATTGGTCTTTCCTGCTTGGTGTTGTTAGTCTTAAAGCAGAAGCATCTGCTAGACCAGTGTTTCTCAACCTTGACAATTTTAAGGCATGTGGACTTCAACTCCCAGGATTCCACAACCAGCATTGCTGGCTGTGGAATTCTGGGAGTTGAAGTCCACATGCCTTAAAATTGTCAAGGTTGAGAAACACTGTGCTAGACTTTCACTAAGACTTTGGACACATGTTTTAATGTTCCCTTCTGAGAGTGCTGTACGACTGGAAGCTGTTCTCGACAATCTTAGACTTGTCTGGATTTCTCTTCTTTATGTCACAATTCTGTTTACACCACTACAAAACTGATCCTCGATAACTCAACAAACAGGTTCCTGACTTGATAACTGCAGTGATCCACTTAACAATTGTGGCAACAAAGATCATAAAATGAGGGGGGGAAACTCACTTAACAAATGTCTGGGCTGCAGTGTGCTCGCACGTTGAGGACTAACCTGTAAGAAGGCTCAGTTTTTTAAAATCGCAACCGTTGTTTGCATGGACCTTGTCTGAGATGTCATCTTCCTTTTCAACCAGGTGCTGGGGAATCCCATGGCCAACGCCAACACTGCTATGAACCCAGCAGGGAACCCCATGGCTTCTGGGATGACGGCCAGCAATCCTGGCCTGAATTCCCCCCAGTTTGCTGGACAGCAGCAGCCCTTCTCGGCCAAGGCCAGCTCCAATCAGTCCTACATTCAACAAGGCATGTACGGACGACCCAACTACCCTGGCAGCGGAGGCTTTGCGGGAAGGTAAGGCTGGAGCAGAGGTTGCTCTGTCCGTGCTAGTTCAGGAGAGGCGTAGAGGAAGGAGACGGGCACCATCAGAGCATGATGGAAATCAAGTTGGGTTCACCGGGAATGTTATTTTCTGTACCCGTTACCGAAAACAGAGAGGTGAATGTTGGAAAAGCAGTTTGCAAAGACATCCAAGATAATCCAGCACGAGTCCAGAAAGAGTGCAACAAAGATGAACAGGGGACTGGAGGCTAAAACATGTGAAGAACAGTTGCAGGAATTGGGTATGTCTTGTTTAATGAAGAGAAGGACCAGGGGTGACATGATAGCAGTCTTCCAGTATCTCAGGGGCTTCCCCAAAGAAGAGGGAGTCAAGCTATTCTCCAAGACGCCTGAAGGCAGGAGAAGAAGCAACGGATGGAAACTAATCAAGGAGAGAAGCAACCTGGAACTAAGGAGAAGCTTCCAGACAGTTAGAACAATTAACCAGTGGAACAACCTGCCTCCAGAAGCGGTGAATGCTCCAACACTGGGAGTTCTTAAGAAGAGACTGGACACCCCATTTGTCTGAAATGGTATAGGGTTTCCTCCCTGACCAGGGGGTTGGACTAAATGACCTCCAAGGTCCCTTCCAATTTTTATTATTGTTGTTGTGTTGTTGTTGCAATTTCATGTTGAAATTCCCTGAATTGTGTTACTCCTGGTCTTAAATGCAAACCAGCAGAATAATAGAGCTGGAAGGGACATTGGAGGTCTTCTAGTTCAACTCCCTGCTCAGGCAGGACACCCTATACCACTCCAGATAAGTGGCTGTCCAGGCTCTTCTTAAAAACCTCCAGTGATGGAACATTCACAACTTCTGGAGGCAAGTCATTCCACTGGTTAATTGTTCTAACAGTCAGGAAGTTTCTCCTTAGTTCCAGGTTGCTTCTCTCCTTGATCGGTTTCCATCCGTTGCTTCTTGTCCTGCCTTCAGGTGATTTGGAGAACAGCTTGACTCCATCTTCTTTGGGGCAACCCCTGAGATATGGGAACATTGTTATCATGTCACCTCTAATCTTTCTTTTCTCTAGACTGGCCATACCCAAATTCTGCAACTGTTCTTTGTTTGTTTTAGCCTCCAGACCCCTAATCATCTTTGTTGCTCTTCTCTGCACACTTTCCAGAATCCCAACATCTTTTTCAATATCATGGTGACCAAAACTGGATGCAATATTCCAAGTGTGGTCTTAGCAAGGCACTATAAAGTGGTGCTAACACTTCACACGATCTTGATTCGTTAACACAGCCTTAGGACTGTATTGACTCTTTGGTGACTCAAACACCAACGTGTGTAAATTTGGTTTGTCTCCCTCAGCTATCCAGGAGGCCCTAACAATCCAGCTGGGATGGGGATGCCGCCACATACCCGACCACCAGCTGATTTCACTCAACCCGCTGCTGCTGCAGCTGCGGCTGCTGTGGCCGCCGCTGCCGCCACGGCCACAGCGACAGCTACCGCAACGGTTGCAGCACTGCAGGAAACCCAAAACAAGGAAATGAATCAATACGGACCGGTAAGACTGCCAGTTAACTTCCGTCATGGGTGGGATTTTTCATTTGGGTAGACGTAGAGATGAGAGAGGGGGTAGGATGGCTCAGCAGTTAAAGAAAGCTGATAGCCCAGGTTCGAGAGCCGAGCTCTACAGAACGGAGTGAGCTCCTGCTCCTTGTCTCAGTTCCTGCCCACCTAGGAGTTTGAAAGCATGGAGATGCAACTAGATTAATGGGTAGCACTTCAGTGGAAAGGTAACAGCACTCCAGGGACTTTGGCGTATAGCCATTCTGGGAGAAATTGTCTTCGGACAACAGAGGTTCCTTGGCCAAGGAACAGAGGTGAGCACCGTATCCTAGACTCAGACATGACTGACCTGATCTTCAGAGATCATTAGGGATGAAACCCAGCCTGGTTTGGGTAAGTCCATCATAAAGGGATGGCTGCCCCCCTCTCTCCCAAAAGTATAACCGATTCCTCTTTTAAAAGAAGAGAGATAGGTCTATCGCATAAGGCCACAGATTCACAGCTTTGAGGTTGATGTCCTGGTTCCGACAAATGGAACTCTTCAAAGAACTTCGAGGCATTGTTTACCTTAAAGAATCTTTATTTGAGTGGCATAACATTGGCACTGACATAATTGAAGCCAAAAACTGAATCCCCCCCCCCCTTGGGCACATAGTATCAAAGCACAATTCCCTCCTCCAATTAACAGTCATAAGTCACATTCCCCTTAGTTTGAAGCATGGGCTTCCCCTCCAGCTCTCCAGCCCACCATTTCTTTATCATCTCCTATTTCAACAACCTTGGTTCTCACCCTAGGTTTAGTGTTGTTATTTCTAGTTGGACTCTCGTTCACATCCCCCCTCCCAGCCTCATCTAACTCTAAAAGCAAAAGGTAAAAGATGGCTACATTTCCAACTGTTGTCAATGCAAAAACATCCGATGCTAGCAGCTTTGACAGTTTATGTTAGCAGAGCTCTAAGGGCGAGTAAGACTAGGTAGTTTGTGTGGTTGTTTGTTTATTTTTTGAAAACATGCGGATGTGCTGATGACCTCTTGCTGTTTGTCCAGACAAAGGCAGGGGGCTGAAATGGTTCTGAACTGGAGCTTGTGAGTTTTGCAAGAAGCTTGCTATACCCTGATCAGACAGTATGAATTTCGCACTGAAAGTCAACCAGAACAGAAACTATAGAGACAAAGTAAAAGATAAAGAATCAGAGGGATGGGAGGGAACTTCGAGGTCTTCTAGTCCAACCCCTCCACCCAAGGCAGGAGTCTTTAGGCCATCTCAGACAAAATGTTGTCCCATCTGTTTTTGAAAACCTGTAGTGATGGGCCACCCACAACTCCGAGAGGCGAGCTGTTGCGTTGGCCCATTGTTCTCACTGTCAGGAAATTCCTCCTTCTTTCCAAAATTCATTGTCCACCCAAGGCTTCTTGTCCTGCCCTGAGGTGTCGTGGATAATAAACCATTGATTTATTAATAAAAATAAATGTTGACTTATCTTCAAGGTGACTTAACCGTTTATAGTCCATGTGTGTGTTACCCACCAAGTCGTATATCCTTGTCTTTTCCCCAGATTTTTTTTCTTCTTTTACTTCTCAGACCAGAAGTAAAAGACTAGAGCAGGGGTAGTCAACCTTGGCTCTTTTATGACTCGTGGACTTCAACTCCCAGAATTCCAGCTGGCTCAGGAATTCTGGGAGTTGAAGTCCACGAGTCATAAAAGAGCCAAGGTTGACTATCCCTGGACTAGAAAATAAAAGGATTTCCCACTGATGTCGGCTCAAAATATTAAGCAGGTTTTTGAGATCAGCTAAATGAGCAAAAAAGTCCAGAGTTCCCTTTAGCCAAGCCTCACTTGTAATGACTTCATGAAGACATCCTTGATGTACAAATAGTTCATTTAGTGACCGTTTTTCACACTGAACGATAATGCTGTTGCAACTGCATAAACTTACAGCCCACTTAAAAATAGATTCTATTTGTATTTTTTAAACAAGTTTATTTTTATTTGGAACTTGACTAAGTAACTCCCCCCCCCCTACTTTTTAATGAATATCTTAAATCTCTCTAAATACACTGAATTTCATTGTCCTGATTTATAGCTATTATCTCCATCTGTGTTTTAATTCCCGCACATTATTGATAATGCTTTTTCTAACTTTATAATAGGGTTAATTGTATCTGAATATTAATGCAAAATAATCTGTGTCGAGACAAATTTGTTTTGTTTTGTTCCTTTCCTATGCATTCAGTTATAATTATTTATCTAATTATAACTGCTAGTAATTGCAAACAAATTACATATTAGAGGGCAGATAATCATTCTAGCTGGAAATAGGCTTATCTGCCATGTTCATGTGACTAATTAAACTTTGTAATTTGCCATTGCTATCAATTTCAGCCAGTATGGTCTTGTGGTTAGGCCACTGGGCTAGAGACTGTGAATTCTAGTCTTGCCTTAGGCATGAAAGCCAGCTGAATGACTTTAGGCCAATCACTAGGTGTCTGTGAGTTCTAGTCCCACTTTAGGGGTGAAAGCCAGATGGGTGACTTTGGGCCAATCATCAGGAGACGGTGAGTTCTAGTCCTGCCTTAGGCAAGGCAGATGGCTGGGTGACTTTGGGCCAGTCACCCTCTCTCAGCCCAATCTGATGACTCCCAGACTAACCAGGACCAACCTTGATCAGCCACCATAGATAAGCTCTTTCTAGTCATCCAACTCAAGTTTGCTGCTCATCCTTCCAGAGATTGCCGTAGTCCCTTGCCAGAATGATGATGTTGCATTTCTTTATTTAGAAACGGGCTCCTATGCTCTGTTCAGAACTTGCAACGGGACGTAACTCAGAAGTTAAAGCTGGAAGGTTTTCATGCCCTCCATTAAGTCAACGGTGGCCTCCTGGTCCGTTGCCTTTTTCAGACCCCCGGTAGCAAAGACGGTCCTTCAAAAGGCAAGGAAGCCGCCCTCAGAAAATGCGACAGCTCTGATTCCTCTCCTGTACGGCTCCCCCTCCCCTTTTAAGTCCGTGTCGCATTTTTATATTCTTTTTTTTTTCTTCTCCTCCTCCTCCTTCTTCTGTTGAAGGTTTGTTCCTCTTTCCAGATGGGTCCGGCCCAGCCTTACAACAGCCAGTTCATCAACCAGCCTGGCCCTCGAGGTCCCGCTTCCATGCCAGCCAACCTGAATCCGGCGTCCATGGGGGCAAGCATGACGCCTTCCAGTATGAGCGGGCCACCCATGGGCATGAGCCAGGCCAGGCCTCCAGGAATGAGCCCTTTCAACCATGGGCAGAGGATGCCCCAACAAGCTTACCCTGGTCCACGTCCCCAGTCATTGCCCATGCAAAGCATGAAGAGAACATATCCTGGAGAGGTGGGTATCGGTGGCTCAGTTCGGAGTGGGTTGGCTTCGGCCTCCTGCAAATTAGGGAGATTATATAACAGAATAACAGCTTTGGGAGGACCCTTGGAGGTCTTCTAACCCAACTCCCTGCTCAAACAGGAAACCGTAACCTTTTCAACAGATGGTTGTCCAATCCCTTCTTAAAAACCTCCAGTGAGGGAGCACCCACTGCTTTTGGAGGCAACCGGAGGATAAAATAGAATAGGAGGGTGAAGGGTTAGTACCGCTTTACAAGGCCTTGGTAAGGCCACACTTGGAATACAGCATCCAGTTTTGGTCACCACGATGTAAAAAAGATGCTGAGGCTCTAGAAAGAGTGCAGAGAAGAGCAACAGAGATGATCAGGGGACTGGAAGTTAAAACATATAAGGAACGGTGGCTGGAATTGGGTAGGTCCAGTTCAGTGAAGAGAAGGATTGGGGTGACATGATAGCCGTGTTCCAATATCTCAGGGGCTGCCCCAAAGAAGAGGGAGTCAAGCTATTCTCCAAAGCGCCTGAAGGCAGGACAAGAAACAATGGATGGAAACTAATCAAGGAGAGAAGCAACCTGGAATTAAGGAGAAACTTCCTAACAGCGAGAACAATTAATCAGTGGAACAACTTGCCTCTAGAAGTTGTGGGTGATCCATCACTGGAGGTTCTTAAGAAGAGACTGGACAGCCATTTGTCTGGAATGGTCTAGGGTCTCCTGCTTGTCATTATAATGTTTATACAGTGTGTTTGTGTGTATGCGTGGGTGTATGTATATGTATATAGTGCATATATATGTGTGTTTGTATATATACATGTATATGTATGCAGTATATATCTCTATATGTATTGGGTTTTTTTTTTGTCTTTTTCTATCAACCAGCCAAATTATGGAAACCAGCAGTATGGACCAAATAACCAGTTTCCATCCCAGCCTGGCCAGTATCCCGCTCCCAATCCTCCAAGACCCCTCACCTCACCCAACTACCCAGGGCAGAGAATGCCAAGCCAGCAAAACACGGGGCAATATCCTACCCCAGCCGTTAACATGGGGCAATATTACAAGGTGAGAAGCACTGACCTTCATTTTTTCGCTCCTTCCTATGGGAGTTCGTTTTTGCACATTTGGCAAAGCTTTCGTTGTGGCTAGGGTGAAAATGAAAAACCCTTGCAGCTTGCAATAAGTAATGAAAAACTTATTTGGAGGTTGACCCTATGAGCAGTGGTGGCGCAGTGGTTGGAAAGCAGTATTGCAGGCTACTTCTGCTGGCTGCCGGCTGCCAGCAGTTCGACAGTTCGAATCTCACTGGCTCAAGGTCGACTCAGCCTCCCATCCTTCCGAGGTCGGTAAAATGAGGACCCAGATTGTTGGGGGGCAAATAGGCTGACTGTAAACTGCTTAGAGAGGGTTGTAAAGCACGGTGAAGCGGTATATAAGTCTAAGTGCTGTTGCTATTGACTCAATTCTGTTTCTTTCTCTCTCTCTCTCTCTTTCCAATGGCAACCACCATTTTGCAGCCGTCAAGGCCTGTCCCTGTAGCAAATTACCCTCACTCACCTGTTCCAGGAAATCCTACGCCACCTATGACGCCCGGCAGCAATATGGCGCCATACCTGTCTCCTAACCAAGATGTCAAGCCGCCCTTCCCACCAGACATTAAGCCAAATATCACTGCTTTGCCCCCACCTCCAGGTAAGTACCGAATCTGGAAAATCTTCTTCTGATTCTCTTTGCCTCCCCCCCGTGTGGAAACGGGCAAAATATGTGCCTTGCGGGAACATTAGAGCCAGCGTCACTAAATGTCTGTGGAGATTTTCAGTCGTTCCAGATCCTGGTTGTCCCAAAGGTGCTATTTTCAAGAGGCAACTGGACTTCCTTATTTTTCTTTGAAGAAGTTTCGCTTCTCATCCAAGAAGCTTCTTCAGCTCTGACTGGACGGTGGGGAATGGAAAGATTTATACTCCTTGCAGGCAGCTGGTCATTTGCATTCTTTTAGAGAGTCATTGAGGCCACTTGGAGGTTTGCCTGTGTCCTTAGGGTCACCTGAGCAGTGCAAATGGGTGTGTTGAATGCTGTGTTGGAGAGACACAGGGCAAAAGACATCCTGCAGCCAAGAAGGCTCCACAGCCATTTGCACTCCTCAGGTGACCCTGAGGACACAGGTAAACCTCCAAGTGGCCTCAACAACTCTCTAAAAGAAGGCAAATGACCAGCTGCCTGCAAGGAATATAAATCCTTCCATTTCCTCACCATCCAGTCAGAGCTGAAGAAGCTTCCTGGATGAGAAGCGAAACATCTTCAAAGGAAAAACAAAGAAAGTCCAGTTGCCTCCCAAAAAGTGTCTTCGGGATTCCTGAAGGCTGCTGAAAGTCGTGGGAATCTCCCCCTGTTAACTTTCCTCTCCCTCTTCAATCCCAGCCAGCCATAACGACGAGCTGCGCCTGACGTTCCCCGTGAGAGACGGGGTCGTCTTGGAGCCCTTCCGGCTGGAGCACAACCTGGCGGTCAGCAACCACGTCTTTCACCTGCGGCCGACAGTCCATCAGACCCTCATGTGGAGGTAGGTTGACCATGGGGTGCAGCAAATGCAGTGCGGGACACGTATGGGGAGATCACGTCCGGTGAGTCTTATGATGGATCAGGTGTGGGGTTGTGTCAAGTGAGGGTCTTGTGATGGGAAGGTCACATCAGATGAAGGTCATTGGAAAGTGAAGGTTGGGGGGGGCTTGTGTAGGATGGTTGAGGGACGGTGCTCTCTCTGGCTGTGCGGTTGATTTGGATCCTGAGGGGTTCAGAATAGAATAGGTAGAGTAGAATAGAATAGAATAGAATAGAATAGAATAGAATAGAATAGAATAGAATAGAATAGAATAGAATAGAATAGAATAGAATAGAATAGAATAGAATATGGGAATGGAATGGAATGGAATGTAGAATAGAATAGAATAGAATAGAATAGAATAGAATAGAATAGAATAGAATAGAATAGAATAGAATATGGGAATGGAATGGAATGTAGAATAGAATAGAATAGAATAGAATAGAATAGAATAGAATAGAATAGAATAGAATAGAATAGAATAGAATATGGAAATGGAATGGAATGGAATGTAGAACAGAATAGAATGTAGAACAGAATAGAATAGAAGAGGAGAGAGAAGAGAAGAGAAGAGAAGAGAAGAGAAGAGAAGAGAATTCTTTGTTGGTCAAGTGTAATAAAGAAATGCCTAGAGAGGCACAAACTCAATCAAATTTGTCAATGTTTCCAGTTGAGAAGGAAATGATGTGAAGCTCAGAAGTTGTCTCATTCAGACAAAACCCTTCCGTAAGTTTAAAAGAATCCATCTTGAAGTCAGATGCTTTTGAACCTGAAATGTTATTCTGTCTCTAGGGAAAACTAGGAATGGATGGGACCTAATGCACATTTTCAAAAAGAGCCCAAAGAGTCCATTTCCGTAATCTTGTTCATACCAGACACGAGCTTGAATTGGTTGCGACAATATAAAAAAGGTGTTGGGACTCTGGAAAGAGTTCAGAGAACAGCAACAGGGATGATTAGGGGGCTGGAAGCTAAAACATAACGAAGATCAGTTGCAGAAATTGGATATGTCTAATTTAATAAAAAAGAGGAGTAGGGGTGACATGATAAGCAGTGTTCCAATATCTAAGGGGCTGCCCCAAAGAAGAGGGGGTCAACCTATTCTTCAAAGTACCCGATTGCAGGACAAGGAATAATGGATGGAAACTAACCAAAGAGAGAAGCAACCTGGAATTAAGGAGAAACTTCCTAACAGTGAGGACAATTAAGCTGCCCCCTTGTGTAATCTGGAAGTGAATGAATGGAGAGTTTATTATCGCTTTGTGTTTATCCCTCTTGTAAACTTCTCAATGTACACTTCATTTGGAGCAGCATCTAAGCCCTACAAAGCTATAAACAGCCTTTATTAATCATTTTCTTGCAAATGGCAATGCAGAACTTTCATTTCATTTGACACAATTAGTTAGAATTTAGAATAAGAGAGAGGATGGATCAGAGGAACGGCTTGCGTTCAGAAATCGTGGGCGCTCCATCTCTCGAGTTTTTCAAGAAAAGACTGGACAGCCACTTGTCTGGAATGGTCTAGGGTCTCCAGCTTGAGCAGGGGGGCTGGACTAGAAGATCTCCAAGGTCTCTTCCAGCTCTGTTATTCTGCCTTACACATGTAACAAGCAGCTGCTTATACCAATGTAAACATCTGCCTTCTTTGACAGATCAGACTTGGAGTTACAATTCAAGTGTTATCACCACGAAGACCGGCAAATGAACACCAACTGGCCAGCCTCAGTCCAGGTCAGCGTCAACGCAACTCCACTCACCATTGAACGGGGTGACAACAAGACATCGCATAAACCCCTGCACCTCAAACACGTTTGCCAGCCAGGAAGAAACACAATTCAAATCACTGTCACGGCATGCTGTTGTGTAAGTAGCTAATGGCTCTATTAATTCTATGGGCTTTTTGTATGTGTGCGTGTGTGTGTGTGTGTGTGTGTGTGTGTGTGTGTGTGTGTGTGTGTATTATGAAAAGTTGACTGTTTGGAAATAGTTTCAGATTAAGGAAATGTCCTTATCTGCCAAATATCTGCCAAATTGGCCCTCCCCAAGGCAAAAACCCCAAAACAATGCATTAACCTACACTATCTTGAGGGCCTTGCGAGGAGGAAGAGGAGGAGGGGGAGGATGAAGAGTAAAGAAGAGGAGGAGGAGAAGGAGAAGAGAAGGAGAATAGTAAGGCTGACAAGCATCTTCACTGAGGTGTTTGGAGTCCTTGAATGTTGCTCAGATGGGCCATGACAACATGTCCATTAGAGAAAAACTTTCCAAGAAGTTGGAGCTATTGTTCTGAAGACCCTCCTATGAAGACCATCCCACGCCAAATCTCTCCTGAAGCGGGCTAGCACTCCAGAGGAGAGATTTGGCATGGGAACCCCAGCGAGATGAAACACTCCCAACCATGGACCCTTCGTAACTTCCCTACAGCTACAGCATCCGAGGCAGGTGCTCTGATTGAGTGGCCACGGATCCTCTATAGACAACTGAATTTTTATTTTCCCTTTCCCCCCTCCCTCCCCCAGTCCCATTTGTTTGTTTTGCAGTTAGTACACCGGCCTTCGGTCCGCTCTGTCCTCCAGGGCCTATTAAAGAAACGCCTGCTTCCAGCTGAACATTGCATCACAAAAAGTGAGTAGAACTTTGCGTGTCATTTGGCCCTGAAAGGAGACGATGAATTCCATCCAGTCCTGGGAAAGTTTCTGTCAGTGTGAAGGTTGTGGGTTGGTTTCCAAGCGTTTTTCTACCGGGCTGGGTAACATCTTCAGTGTCGATGTTCTTCTGTTTATAAGGGCTTCAGGTGTGGGTGTGTCAAATGAAGGTCTTGTGATGCGTTGAGGTGTGAGTCATCAGTGAGAGGCTTGTGATGGGTCTTGTGATGGGGAGGTTATATCAGATCAGTGTCATTGGGAAGTGAAGTGCTGACGGGAAAAAGGGGGATTGCGCGGGATGGTTGAGGGTTGGTGCTTTTTCTGGTTGGCTGTGTGGTTAATTTGGATTCTGAGGGGTTTGTAGGCCGGTTATAGGTCATTGTGTTTGTTGAGCCCTTATAAACAAAAGAACACTGACATCCCTTAAATGCCGCTGAAGATGTTACCTAGCCTGGTAACAAAATGTTCGGAAATCAACCCCACAAGCTCAGAGAACGAACCTTCATCCTCATGGGACTAGAACTCACAGACACCCTGTTTCTAGCCTGTCACCTTAACCACTACAATAAACAGCCATTGGAGACACGGAACAAACCCATTAAATTCTATGGCCTTTATTTTCTGATCTATCTGGAAATGTACAATTCTTTCTTTATCTTCTCCGGGTAAATTCACTTTACCTCTCAGCCAAAGAATGTTCAATAGTCCTGGGCATAATCTGTGGAATGTTTCTCGTGCTTAACTTTTTAAGTCTACGCTCTCTCAAACCCCCTGGAAAATCATCCCGATTTCACTTCAATTACTAAAGAGGGAAAAAGTTATGAGACTCATTTCCATTTGTTCCGAAAACAAAAACATGGATTCCAAATTTAGGAAAATCCACAGATATAAAGCTTATAAGCAGAAGAACACTGATACAGACATCCCCTAAACTACAGGTCCGCAATCATTTGGGCACCAGGGACTGGTTCTGTGGAGAAAGGTTTTTCCGTGGACCGGGGGGTTTGTGGTTTTCCGTGCTGCCTGCATCTCACGGATGGGGCTTTGCTTGTTTGTGCGGACCAGTTGCTGGCATGCCGCGGCCCTGTACTGGTCCACAGCCTGGGGTTTGGGGACCCCTGCCCTAAACTCTGCTGAAGATATTACCTAGCCTGGTAGTGAAACATTGTAAACCAACCCACAAGCTTGGAGAACAGACCTTCACCCTCATCCTACACCAGAGCTACAGATATTGACCACGATGGCAAGTTTCTGTCAACCCAAGAATGTTTGTCATGCTGTTAAAGCAGTCCTAAGTATGAATTCTGTTATCTCCCTCCATTTCTTCTCTTTTTTGGGGGGCAACAGTCAAGAGAAATTTTAGCAGCGTGGCTGCCTCTTCGGGCAATGCACCTCTCAATGGGGAAGATGGTGTGGAGCAGACAGCCATCAAAGTCTCTCTCAAATGTCCAATCACATTCCGGCGGATCCAGCTGCCAGCAAGAGGTCACGATTGCAAGCACGTACAGGTGAGCACCTCCCCATGTCCCATTCAGTGCCAGCTGACGCCACGTTTTATCTGCTCCTTCAACAAATGTGTACAGCCAGACCTCTAACTATTAAACTACCAATAGCGCTAATGCTAAAATTGCCAGGCGCAAAGAATCAGGATTAAGTTCCCGTTAAACTGACATATTGCTCACACCTATAGACAAGAATTGGCCAGCTAATGGTCAGCACTAAATTGACACTACAGAAGAATTAACGGAATTCAAAGGGGGCTGGGTTTGGCTTGCTTGTGGCGATGTAAGGAATCCAGCCTGATTCCTCACTTGACTCCACCCCTCTTCTACTACAACAATGCTAATTCATCTGATGCTGAAACCCTGGGAAAACAAATGCATTGTATCTTGGTACCTACCCAAAAGCCATTGCAATGAGCACCCCAAAAACCTTCTTCAAAATCTGCCTGAGCTTTTCCTGCCATTTTGTTACTTTAAACCCAACATCTCCCAGCGGTAAATGAATTTTCTTTCTAATTGCTTGGCCTTTAGCCTCCCTGAGTTCCTATGGGGCTATTTGATGGCGGGATGCTTTGGACACTGTTAAAGAGTTCCACATGTACATACCTTGGAATATTCTCACCCCACATCCCCAAATAAATCCACCAATATTCTTTGTGTGTATTTGGGTTCCAATTCCCTCAACCCAGATGGAAGCCTTCTCTAGCCAGCATTGCAATTTTTCTTTCTTTTTATTTTAGAATATAATCTATCTTTCCTATCCCAAATTATAGAACATGTTTTTCAGCGGATGTGTGTTTCAGAGAACAGAATTCTTCTCTACAACTTTGTATCCTTGTGCTGGGGTCCCCAATTTGTGGGCTGCAGCCCAGCACGGAGCCACGACAAGCGAGCGGGTGTGTGCCTGCCGCTCACATGGAATCATTCTCCCCCCAAATGGTCCACAAAGCCAGAAAGGTTGGGGGACCACTATCCTCGTGCTTTCAATCCTTACAACTATTCATTTTCTTCCCAAAGGGGCTATTTTCAAGAGGCAACTGGACTTTCTTATTTTTCTTTGAAGACGTTTCGCTTCTCATCCAAGAAGCTTCTTCAGCTTTGACTGGATGGTGGGGAAGGGAAGGATTTATACTCCTTGCAGACAGCTGGTCATTTGCCTTCTTTTAGAGAGTCATTGAGCCACTTGGAGGTTGACCTGTGTCCTCAGGGTCAACTGAGGGGTGCAAATGGGTGTGGAGCCTTCTTGGCTACAGGATGTTTTCTGCCCTGGGTCCCTTCCCTGTGGAAGACTGGCGCAAGGCTGTTGGGGATGAGTCTGTGTTGCCTATTCAGCATCTAGTTAGAGCTAAAGAACCTTCTTGGATGAGAAGCGAAATTTCAAAGGAAAACCATAAAAGTTCAGTTGCCTCCTGAAGAAGCATTTTTGGGGGAACCATGACCTGGATGGCTGAGAATCCCCATAGACATTTTCATGTTCTTGTTATGCTGGGCCAATGGTTTTTTCTTTCTTCCTGGCATGCATTTGATGCAACAGCTTCTCTTTTTCATTCACACCCATTGGGGGCGGGAGAGTCGTCTTTGCAGCCATACCTCCCATGATCTTTTTGCAAAGCCGCACAATAGTTTAACTAAGATTTTCCCACTTTTTTTTTTCCTCCTACAGTGTTTCGATCTGGAATCCTACCTCCAGCTGAACTGTGAACGAGGCACTTGGAGGTGCCCTGTATGCAAGTGAGTACGAAAGTGATGATATCAAAGCCGAAACCAAGCCTGTGCAAAATTAGACTGCCATTTTCATCCCGTGAAACCAGAAATGCAACATAATTAACCTAACAGAATTTTTTTAAAAAAAATTATGATAAATAGTTTTTGCTGGAGAGCATTTTTTTTTACGACAATAAAGGGTCTGGAGGCTAAATCGTATGGTTGAGGGAGCTAGATATGTCCAGCCTGTCAAAGAGAAGGAAAGACCTTAAAATCCCTACAATCAAAATAGTTTTTTTTTTGTTTTTTACTTCTGTCTCTCCTAAAATCAGCATCATTCATCTGGCAGATGAAACGCAAGTACCGTAAATGCCGGCGTACAAGGCGACCCGGCGTATAAGACGACCCCTGTCTTTATAGCCGGGCCGCATTCCTAGAACGTCGTCTTATACACCGGAAACTACCAGTATTTCCGGCGTATAAGACAACTCGGCGTATAAGACGACCCCCATCTTTGGTGCCGATTTCAGCGCTCGCGGAAGTCGCCTTATACGCCAGCATTTACGGTACCTAAATGTGTGTCCCGTTTTTTGTTTTTTTCTTTTCTTTTCCAGTAAAACAGCTCTGCTGGAGGGCCTGGAGGTGGATCAGTACATGTGGGGCATTTTGAACGCTATACAAAAGTAAGTGTCACTTTAATGTTGAGAACTGGGCCTCTGCTACATTTGCTCACCTGTTCTAATTCTTGGAGGGCCTTTTCTAGACAATGTTTCATTGTAAAATTCCAGAAGACAAGGTCAAGAAAGTCCCATCACCTCAGAAAATGTTGTCTTCTCATGTGAATGTTGGAGCCGAATGATCTATCCTGAATTGTGAATATTAATCTGGAGGTTCTTAATTCAAAGATAATTTTTATTGAGTTTTGACATTTTACAAAAACAAAAACAAAACCATCTTCCCCCCAACCTCCCCAACCCTCCCATTCCTTCCCCCAACCTTCCCAGAGCTGGATATAGGCTTAATTAGAATTTCATCAAAGAATCTTAAAAAAAGATATAAACCATAAATAAATCTAACATTAGTTAAAAATCTAAATACATTAATTAAAAAAATTATAAAATGATTAACAATACATGAATACAAAAGATAAATGTTTTAAAAAAAAGAATGAAAAAAGGAAAAAAAGAACAAAAAGAAAGAAAAAAAAACCAAAATATTCCATTTTGAATATAAATTGTTAAAAAACTAGATAATATTTTTTATATCTAACTTATATTGTATGAAATCTATCCATTTTTTCCATACCACAACATACTTCTCTTGCGATTGATCCTTCAAGAAAGCCGAAATCTTTGCCACTTCCGCCAAATAAGAAACTTTAAGAAACCACTCTTGCAAAGTAGGCAAAGATTCCTTCTTCCAACATTGCCCTACTAACAACCTTGCGGCTGTAATTAAATTTAACATCAATGTAGTCTCCTTAGTATCACAATCAATAAAGATACCTAACAAAAACAATTGTGGGGTAAATTTTACCCTCCTTCTAAAAATTCTTTGAATATTCCATCATATCTTAATCCAAAAAGCTTTTATATTTTTACACGACCACCAAATATGATAATAAGTAGCATCCAAACATCCGCATCTCCAACATTTAGGCTGTAAGTCAGGATACATACGAGACATTTTTTGTGGATCAAGGTGCCATCTGTAAAACATTTTATAAAAATTCTCCCTTAAATTCTGGGCTTGTGTAAATTTAACATTTCTCACCCAAATAGTTTCCCAAGTATCTAATAAAACTGGTTCACCAAAATTTTGTGGCCATTTAATCATACATTCTTTAACTAATTCTGCTTCTGAATCCAATTCTATTAACACCCCATAAATTCTCTTGATATGAGTTCGTCTTTTACTTTTATTTGTTTAAAAAAATTTTCATCTTCTCTAAGCAAACCCACATTGCAATCTACCTTCCACCTATCCACAATTTGTCTATACTGAAACCATGAATATATAATATTTTCTTGTGCTAAATCTTCCAAAGATTTTAACTGCCAATTTTTACCATCCCATCTAAGTAATTGTGCATAAGAAACACTATCCATCTTAACTCCTCTCCTTATCCCCTCTATCGCATGCCATGGCATGGCCCATAATGGAATTTTAGAATCAATTCTATAATATTTCCTCCAAACCCGAAGTAAAGAAATCCTTATAATATGAGATTTAAAAACCCTATCAACCTTTTTATTAAAAATTAAATAGGCATGCCATCCAAAAAGTAAATCCCAACCCTCCAAGAGGAGTATTTCTGCATTTGTTAAATTAACCCAATCACTAAGTAATGTTAAAACCACAGCATCATAATACAATTTCAAGTTCAGTACCTTGAGTCCACCTCTCTCACGAGTATCTTGCATAATTTTAAATTTTACTCTTGGCTTTTTCCCTGCCCAAATAAATTTGTTGATACCTTTCTGCCATTCATTTAAATTAACCTCGTTCTTTAAGATAGGTATCATTTGAAATAAAAAAAAGAAACTTTGGCAAAACATTCAATTTAATCACAGCAATTCTTCCCAAAAGAGATAATTGCAACTTCTCCCAATTTTTCAAATCTCTTTGTATCTTGACCCACAGCTTTTCATAATTATTTTTATACAGTTTTGCATTAGAGACAGATAAAGTAACCCCCAAATATTTTACCTTATCAACAACCTCAAAATCTGTCAAATTAACCAAAGTCTGCTTATCAAGATTGGTCATATTTTTAGGTAATATTTTAGTCTTGTTATTGTTAATTTTAAAACCCGAAACCCATCCATATTGATGTATCAGTTGTAATAACTCTACTACAGAATAAATAGGTTGTGATAGGGTAACGACCAAGTCATCTGCAAAAGCTCTTAATTTATATTCTTTTTTATTGACTTCTATTCCTTTTATTTGCTGTGATTCTCGGATTTTAATCAGCAATATTTCCAAAGTTAAAACAAACAGCAGTGGTGACAATGGACATCCCTGTCTAGTCCCTTTTTCTATTGTAAAAACCTCTGATAAACCCCCATTAACTATGAGTTGTGCCGTTTGTTTTTGATAAATAACACCAAGAGCTTGTAGAATTTTTTTTTTGATGCTCATTGTTTTTGGTACTAATTGCACCACCCAGAACCAATTAACGATGCGTACCAAGGTACTATTCTTCTTCAATCAGGCTTCCTTTATAGACCTCCTTTATTGTGTCCAGATCTGGGCATCAGAGTTGTAAAAGGGCTGTGTCAAAGAAGGGCAAGTCCAGAGAAAGTTATGGAAACAAAACCACATGAGAAATCATGAAAAAAAATCTGGCCATGTCTAATCTGCAGAGGGGAAAAAATGATTGAATGATTACAGCAGTTTTCAAATATTCGAAGACTGTCATAAAGAAAGAGGAGTGGATGTGGTTTTAATTGTCACAGAAGGCAGAACTACAAGCCACGGGTTAAAAAAAAACACAATGAAGGTGTGGGTAGGCCATCAGGAAGAACTTCCTGACTGTACAAGCCACTAATTGGTGCCACATCATTGGTGAGTTTTCTCCATTAAAGGTCTACAGGCAGAGACATTTGATCATTTGTCAGAGATGTTCCAGTGAATCTTGCACTGAGCAGAGAATTGGACTAAATTATCCTAAGATCTCCCTCACAACTCAACAATTCTATGAAGGTGAAAATGAACAAAGCCAATAATTAACCATGAGCCTCTATTCTGACTTATCAAAGCAAAACTTTTAAAGAAAAAATGGACTTGTGGACCTAACATGTAAGAGTTACTGAAAAGAGTGTTGGTGGGCTTTCATCTTCTTGGACATGTTCAAACAGAAGCCAGGTAGTCCATTTGTGGGAATGTTTAACTTAGATTCCTGCACTGGATTAGTTGGATCATAAGGGAGGCTGAGTGCTGAAGAATTGATGCTTTTGACTTGTAGTGTTGGAGAAGACTCTGGAGAGTCCTTTGGTCTTCAAGAAGATCAAATCAGTCAGTCCTGAAGGAAAGCAACCCTGAGTGTTCTTTGGAAGGACAGATACTAAAACTGAAGTTCAAACACAAATGAGAAGAGAGGACTCATTGGTAAAGACTCTGGTGTTGGGAAAGATGGAAGGCGAAAGGAGAGGGGGATGGACAGAGGAGGAGACAGTTAAATGATGTCATTGACACAAAGGATATGAATTTGGGCAAACTCTGGGAAACGGGAGCCTGGCGTGCGATGGTCCATGGGATCGTGAAGAATTGGACACAACTTAGCAACCGAACAGCAACTGGATACCTATTGGACTTGTTGACTTTAATATTATTATGACATTAGTAACATCTAAAATGTATATGCTGTATTGAGAACTCTCAGCTATTATCAAATGCACTTGTGTTTTTTACAGCTCCGAGTTTGAAGAAGTCACAATTGATCCAACGTGCAGCTGGAGACCTGTCCCCATCAAGTCTGACATTCACATTAAGGATGATCCAGATGGCATTCCTTCTAAAAGGTTCAAAACCATGAGCCCCAGCCAGATGATCATGCCTAATGTGATGGAGATGATTGCTGCCCTGGGTCCAGGTCCATCTCCCTATCCATCCATCCCACCACCCCCCGGGGGCACCAATTCCAGCGAATACAGTAACCAAGGTGAGTTTCTTGAGATATGCAGTCAAGGTTCAAAAAATGCCAACTTAGAGATTATTATGGTCCGCCAGATGTTCAGACTGGACGTGGTATTTTGTCCTTCCAAAGAATCTGGGATTGGCAGATGTGGATGTTTGATGGTGTTGTCGTCACAAGATGTAAGCTGCTTTGAGTAAAGCTGCCTTTTGCAATTGACTTGAGGGTGATATTTGTCAATGTTGATGGTATTCAAGTGGTGCTCCAGTTGTTTTGGGATTGCACCCAAATCATTGGGATTGCACCGTTTAATTATTGCAACTTTTATAGAAGATGAGGAGCTCATTGGAACCATATGCTCGTGGAGACTCTTAGTAGATAACAACACACTGTGTAAGTGTGGAGAGACACAGAGCCTGCCCCATCTGCTAGTATATTGGCTACTATCAGAAACATGTACCGATAATGAGTTAGTTTTGGCCAACAACAAAGCCAAGAAGATGGCAGTTGAAAGTTTGATCAGGGGTGTCAAACTCAATTTCATTGAGGGCAGCATCAGCATTGCGGTTGCCCTCGGGGGGGCAGGTGGGTGTGGCCAGGGTGGGTGCGGCCTACTGGGTGGGCGTGGATGGAGTGGGTGTGGCATACTGGGTGGGCATGGCCAGCTCTACAGCGTTCGCGTCAAGGGTGCCTGTGGGGGCCTGGGCAGGAGTGGGACAGATCTCAGAGTCTCTGGCAGAAGGGGGTGGGACCGGGGCAAGCGCCAAGGCATGATCCATTTCTTCATTCCTCACAAAGGGTGACACCTCCCCAGCATGCACCTAAGGGGCGTGGCTGACATGGCAGGGGCTTGTTCCTCACTGTTTCCAGACGGCCTTGTGGAGCTAAGACTGAATGCATTTCAGCCTAGATGGCCACCACAAAATTGTACATTGGCTCCCGGCCGGCCTGGGCCAGGGTCAAGGCAGCGGGGGCCGTTCCCTCACTGTTTCCAGGATGGCTTCACGGGCCACATGAAACCACTTCGCGGGCCGCATCCGGCCCCCGGGCCTTGTGTTTGACATGTCTGATCTAGACCCTGAAGAAGAAGAAGAAGAAGAAGAAGAAGAAAAATTGGGGCTTGGCCTTGCTGGTTTGATTTTGATTTCAACTTTACTATTCTTACTTTACTTTTCTTTGCTATTTAGGTAACAGTTACCAAGGTCACAGCAATTTTGATTTTCCCCACGGGAATCCCGGCGGGACATCTATGAACGACTTCATGCATGCCCCCCAGTTGTCACACCCGCCGGATATGACCAGCAACATGGCAGCGCTTGATAAACCTCTAAGTCATCCCATGCAGGAACCTGTAAGGATGTTTCGTATTCACCTTGCTCATATGACCTTCTGTCCACGGGCAGTTTGTGTAACGGAGAGTATACAGTCAGCAAAGTAAAAGGAGATCTTTTTTAAAAAAAACAAAAATGGGGAAACAGGAAAAAAAGAAAAGGAAGTGAGTTTGTAAAAGATGTGTAGCTTCATCTTTGCAAGGCAATGCCTGGGAAATAAAGAAGAGATTCTCCATCGTCCAGATCATGGTTGTCCCAAAGGTGCTTTTTCAAAAAGCAACTGGACTTTCTTGGTCTTTTTCCTTGAAAACATTTCACTTCTGAACAGAAGAAGCCTCTCCGATGAGGAGCGAAACATTTTCAAGGGAAAAAAAAAACAAGAAGGTCCAGTTGCCTTTTGGAAAAGCACCTTTTGGACAGAGATTAGATGGGCCAACTCCTGCTTCTTCTGCAGTAGCCACCCAATACACCCAATAGACTGGTCCATGCATGTCCATGGGAAGCAGTGATGAGTCTTGTGTGATGGAGCAATCGCACAAATGCCACAACTTCCCTTTTTCCATTAGATGTCCCAAAAGAGGTGTTTTCTACAGGGTCATGGCTTAAGGTGCAGGCTAACATGGGGACACCGGTTCTTGCTCACTCTCAGCCCAGGAACAAATTCTATCTCTCATTTATCGTATTTAACTTATTGATTACATTTCTCCTCCACCCATCTTGCCTAAGAGTCACTCTACAGTTTACACTAACACATATATCCTATAGCTCAGTGGTTCTCAACCTTTCTAATGCCGCGACCCCATAATACAGTTCCCCATGTTGTGGTGACCCCCAACCACTTATACATCACCGGGTGCCAGGGGCGTGGCCAAAGAAAAGGGGAGAAAAATGCAGACAGCCTTGTTTGGCGACCCCCGTGAAATGATCGTTCGACCCCAAATGGGGTCCCGACCCACAGGTTGAGAACCACTGCTATAGCTATATCTAAAAGGCCATTTGGCGATGTTGTTCATTGTGTCAAAATATGTAGATGCCCCCATTAGCTTTCTAAAGTTCGGGGTGGGAAGGGTTCATCTCTTTAGCCACCATATTGTCCCCTGCCTTCCTTAGATGTTGGGTAGAAACTAGGTCATGAAGAAAGATGATTTTGCCCTCCAAAGATTCAAATAATGCCTCAACTATATTGTAAACAGACTAAGAAAAAGCATTTTTCTTATGCTTTCTCTGCCATTTATGACAATGCTGATGTCATAACGGGAACCCTGGTGATGCAGTGGTTAGAATGCAGTCTTGCAGGCAAACTCTGCCCACAGCCAGGAGTTCGATCCTAACCGGCTCAAGGTTGGCTCAGCCTTCCGTCCTTCCAAGGTCGGTAAAATGAGGATCCAGTTTGTTGGGGAGCAATAGGCTGACTCTGTAAACCGCTCAGAGAGGGCTGTAAAGCACTGTGAAGTGGTATATAAGTGTTAAGTGTCATTGCTATGACTCAGTATGACCATTCTCCAGTTGTCCCTTCTTGATGATCTTCCCAAATGGTCAAATTTGCCTACTGCATCCAAAGTACATTAAATGAAGGTCCATTAACTCAAGCTTTTATTACATTAGGGAATATTTAACTAGGCTGCTGAAGCCACATAACTGTCAACATCCAGCTCCCAGAGTCCAAATAAAAATCCAGGTTCATTCCATTTCCGAAAATCTTACCGTTTATTGAATACCCTGCATGGTAATGTTGAAGCAAAACTAACTCTGAGGTTCCAACACCAAATCATAGACTTCAACAATCAGTTTCCCAGCCACACCCCCAATGTCTTACTTAGTCCATACAAACAAGTTCACTTGTAATGGGAACCGTCTGTTTCAAATCCGCACCTGTTATGGTGTCTTGAAAAGGTTTCAGGCTCTCAACAGTCTTCAGTGGGATCTTCAAGTTTTATTTCTCCATCTAACCCACTCAAAAGTAACACCTTCCCCCGTACCCTAAAGGCAAGTTGAAACACAGAGGCACGTAGCTGCCAAAGTTTCATCCTTGACAATAAGAACATAGAGGTAAAAATTGATACAAGCTCATCATTCAAGTGGTTTCAATAACTGCAGTCGCTGTACTACCTACAGTCCTCAACTCTTCCTCAGCTAATAAAACTGCCTTTTATTGGACCTTGTATGCTATTTGGCAAAACGCTATAGCATTTAATGTTGTGGCATTACTAATTTCTGATAAAAGATTTGAGTACATAATAATCGTTGATCTTCCTCGACAGTCCTTTAGGAGTGATAACCAAGAAGACTAGTGTGTCTTTCTAGCCATTAACGAAACAACACATGGACAATAGATTCCGTATTTCCCATTTTGCCCTGGCGCATTTTAACTTTATTTTTATTTTCTGAGCACCACTGCGCTTGTAAATAGCTCATAGGACATAACTTAATCGAGGCGTCTGTAGTCGCGTTCTCTGAGAAAGATTTTGCCCTCTTACAGATTGTCAGAGCTTCCTGTGGGTCCCAAGTCTAAGACTGAACCCTAACCCCTCAAAGTTGTTCTGTTGGTGGCATAAATTTGTTCCACTGGTTTTCTTAATGACGTCCTCTGGAATGGGACCTATGGCTGGAAAAAGAAATTCTGCTTCCACTTTTTCTTAAATCAGTTCCCTTTAAGAAATAACTGGAATGGAGAGCGAGTTGTGTATTTCATTAAGCAAACAGGCCTGGTAACGCTTCATGCATTTTGGCTGAACTCATCTCCCACTTATGTTCTTGACCACATGCATGATCCCCAACAACTTCCCTCGCCCAATGGCGTATCTGAGAGCTTCTGCTCCATTCCACCTCCATGCCGTGCTAACTTCTTTTTTAGACCGTGGCCTTCTGGGGGAATTTTGTGGTGTCATGCTTGAAAGAAGTCCATGTCAACTAGAATGCCAAGTGTCTATGGAGATTCTCAGTCATCCCATCCCAACGATGCTTTTCCATAAGGCAACTGGACTTTCTTGTTCTTTTTCTTTGAAGATGTTTCGCTTCTCATCCAAGAAGCTTCTTCAGCTCTGCCTGGATGGTGAGGAAGAGAAGGATTTATACTCCTTGCAGATGGCTGGTCATTTGCCTTCTTTTGGAGAGGCATTGAGGCCACTTGGGGATTTGTCTGTGTCCTCAGGGTCACTTGAATGGTGCAAATGGATGATGGAGCCTTCTTGGAAGTATGGAAAGGACATATTCTTTCAACAGAAGGAGAGGGATAGATACAACTCCATCTATCTCCAGTCTACAACACGGTCCTTTCAACAATTCCAACAAGGTACTACACCCATTTACCCTACTTAGGAGAACCTAAGGACACAGATAAGCCTCCAGGTGGCCTCAACGACCTCTAAAAGAATGCAAATGACCAGCTGTCTGCAAGGAGTATAAATCCTTCCATTCCCCACCATCCAGTCAGAGCTGAAGAAGCTTCTGAGATGAGAAGCGAAACGTCTTCAAAGAAAAACGAAGTCCAGTTGCCTTGTGAAAAAGCATCTTTGGGATTACAATGCCAAATCATGCCTGAGATAATTCAATCCCCTTTGAGTTTGGAGAATTTTCTTCTGGAAACAGCAGAACTGTCCCAAAGTGAAATGTTTTCAAGAGGGAAAAAAAATCCCAAGAAAGTCCAGTTGCCTTTGGGAAATGGGCCAAAGTTCTCCAGAACATTCCACCTCAAACTGGTGAGCTTTGCAGGTCCCTAATTGTTGCCAGCCCCTGTCACTAAAAGCAGCCATTTATCAAATCTAAGGGTATGATTACTTTTTTAATACTAGCCTATCACATACTGAATTATTTTGTTTCTGAAATAAATGAAACAACCCCCCCTCAAAAAAAGAAAATCCATTTGGGTTTTTTTATTTTCAGATGCCCTTTCTAGAATGTTAAAAGCTTAACGTTTAGCTGCCACGATATGCCCACATCCAGAAATCCAGAAGGAGGCAAATCCCTTTTTTGAAAGAAAAATACACTTAACCCCTTTCAAAGGGGAAAGCTGCCCTGCCTTGTGGTTATTTAAGATCCACTTCCCTATATATGAGGTCTCTCCCAGAAACCATTACTTTTAGCCTTTTCATAAATCATTTTTAATGTCTCCTGGCTATAGTAAGATGAAGGAGTCTGCAGTGCTTGCCTTAATGCAATTGATTCCGAGGCTGAAAAAGAGCACCGTCTGCAAAAAATGAAATTGAGCCAATATTCAGCTTCGTTTCACACACTTTATAAGGACTGAGATTAACCAGGAACCAACCAACCTTCCTTCCTTCCTTCCTTCCTTCCTTCCTTCCTTCCTTCCTTCCTTCCTTCCTTCCTTCCTTCTCTCCCTCCTTTCCTCCTTCTGCTTCCTTCCTTCCCCCTTTCTTCCTCTCCTTTCTTCCTTTCATCCTTCATTCCTCCTTCCCTCTCTCCCTTTACTTTTTTCCTTTCCTCCCTTCCTCCCTCCACCCCTCCCTCCCTCATTTTGTTAGTTATTATCTTTGCAAGAAATCAGGGCTGGCTCTTTCTGCTAAGACAAAAGTCTTCAAACCTGGCCCTTTTATGACTTGTGGACTTCAATTCCCAGAATTCCTCAGCCAGAGGAAATCAAACTATTCTCCAAAGCCCCTGAAGGCAGGACAAGAAGCAACGGATGGAAACTAATCAAGGAGAGAATCAGCCTAGAACTAAGGAGAAATTTCATGACAGTGAGAACAATTAACCAGTGGAACCACCTGCCTCCAGAAGCTGTGAATGCTCCAACACTGGAAGTTTTTAAGAAGAGACTGGACAGCCATTTGTCTGAAATGGTATAGGGTTTCCTGCCTGAGCAGGGGGTTGGACTTGAAGACCTCCAAGGTCCTTTCCAACTCATTATTTATTATTATTATTATTATTATTATTATTATTATTATTATTATTATTATTCGTCAATACTGCAATCATGATGGTTTGTTTTATATTGCGATGGCTGGGTGATAGTACAGGATGCTTTAGGTTTTAGGGATGTGTTCTTAATTTGGCAGGAAGCTGTCTCAATGTGTAAATGAAGTTTGAATGGCAGCTACTGAGTACCATGACTTTAAAAGGAAGGAGAAACTATATTGGTCTTCAAATAGTAAAGGATTTCCTTTTAGCTTTGTAAAGTGGGAGAAAATTGAGCTGGTGGAAATATGATCAGCTGTGACTACGAACATGAAATTAGTTCTGTATGATACACCGGAAGTCTATATGTGCTAAGATGTTTGTGCACTTCCTTTTGTGTCCTTATGTTTGTGTATCGGGTTTGCAACTATATATACAGGTGAGTTTAAAAGAGATTCTTTTTTTTAATTCGTACATATAATTTTCATAAGACCACACTTGGAATATTGAGCTTCTGGAAAGGGTGCAGAGAAGAGCAATGAAGACAATTAGGGGGCTGGAGGCTAAAATATATGAAGAAGGATTGCAAGAATTGGGTATGTCTAGTTTAATGAAGAGAAGAAGTAGGGGTGACATGTTCCAGTATCTCAAAGAAGAGGGGGTCAAGCTATTCTCCAAAGCCCCTGAAGGCAGGACAAGAAGCAATGGATGGGAACGAATCAAGGAGAGAAGCAACCTAGAACTAAGGAGAAACTTCCTGACAGTGAAGATCAGTGAGAACAATTAACCAGTGGAACAGCTTGCCTCCAGAAGTTGTGGGTGCTTCACCAATGCAGGCTTTTGAGAAGAAACCGGAAGCAATTTGTCTGAAACAGTATACGGTTTTCTGCTTGAGAGAGACTAGAAGACCTCCAAGGTCCCTTCCAATTCTGTTTTTCTTCAGTCATTATAGTCTGCAAGGAAGGAACACCTGTGTAAAAGAGAGAATGAGTGTATGTCTATATGCAGAACAGTAAGAATAGTCGGAGGGTTTTCTCTCTCTCTTTTTTTTTTTAAAGTGAAATACTAACTTTCTCATCTCTTTTTGTTCCTCACACCATGCAACTAAATGATCAAGAGTTGATTCTATCTATCTATCTATCTATCTATCTATCTATCTATCTATCTATCTATCTATCCTACCTTTTCTATCTATCTATCCTACCTAATCTATCTATCTATCTATCTATCTATCTATCTATCTATCTATCTATCTATCTATCTATCCCTAACCAATCTACTTATCTATCCATCCATCCATCATCTATCTGTCTTTCTGTCTGTCTATCTATATCTGTCTCTGTCCCTGTCTGTCTATCTATCCATCCATCCCTCTCTTTCTCTTTATCTGTCTATCCACCTATCTATCTATCTATCTATCTATCTATCTATCTATCTATCGGTCTTTGGTTATTCGGGTTTTCTCCCACGTAAAATTGGAAGTGTCTTGGCGACGTTTCGACGAAGTCTCATTCGTCATCTTCAGGCTGGTGCTTTCGGCTTCGTGCTTCTATCTATTTATCTATCTACATACACATACATACACATACGCATATACACATATATATTGTGGGAAGGTATTTTGCCTTAAAAAAATGAAAAGTTGTGCTCTGTTTAATAGAATTCATACCAGGAAAGTTAAAGACGTCAACATATTCAAAAGTTAACATACTAGAAAAAATATTTATGGAGATTCTCAGTCATCCAGATCATGGTTGCCCCAAAGATGCTTTTTTTTCTTTCAAAAGGCAGCTGGTCTTTGTTCTCCCTTGAAGACGCTTCGCTTCTCATCCAAGAAGCTTCTTCAGTTCTGACTGAATAGTGGAGGGTGGAAGGTTTTTTTAAATTCCTGGCAGTCATCTGGTCGTTAGCGCTGTCCCTGAGAGTCACTCAGGCTACTTGGAGGTTTTTCTCAGAGTATAAATCCTTCCCTTCCCCCCATCCACTCGGAGCTGAAGAAGCTTCTTGGAGGAGAAGCGAAACGTCTTCAAGGAAAAACAAAGTCCAGTTGCCCTTTTGAAAAAAAAGCAACTTTGGGATTACAAAACTCAAAATGTCAACTTTCCAACTACACAGAGTTTTTCAGGGCGTCATCTGGACGTACAGCCCAACAGGGCCGCCATTTCTTATTCCAAGCATTTTTCTAAACGTGGTGTTTTGAATGCCGTGGGTTCAGCAACAAGACGATTGCCCGAATTGGGTTCCTCCCGGATGATAAAGGCTTGTAGCGATGATGGTTTATGAAATGATTCCCCTCCCCCCCCCAGCACCATGCTCTCCCCATCTTCCGGCTTGCCACCGCATCTCCTCATGTCTGCTCTCCTGCTTCTCTCCTCCTTCTGCAGATCCCTCATCCTGGCAACACTGATCAATCCCATAGCTCCATGCCGCAAAGTTTGCACGTCCCTCATCCCAGCAGCCAGTCAGGGCAGCCATTACATCACAGTGGGCCCCCGACTCAGCCGTCCCGCCAGCCGACCCAGGCCGCTGCTAGCAACCATCCGCACAGCGACCTGGCTTTTAACCCCTCGGCAGCTTTAGAAGCGCAACCCGGCGGGCAGGGAACGTCCGATATGCCGGAACCATCGCTGGATGTAAGTCTGTGTCATTCTGTCACCTGCTTCCCTTCACAGTGCATTCAAGGTCAGAAGAGGTGGAAGGAAGGAAGGAAGGAAGGAAGGAAGGAAGGAAGGAAGGAAGGAAGGAAGGAAGGAAGGAAGGAAGAGACTTACCTCAGGGTTTGCAATAGTGTTGGCAAATATCTGTAGCTCAGGTAGAGGATGAGGGTGGAGGTTCATTCTCTGAGCTTGTGGATTGGTTTCCGAGCATTTTGCTACCATCTTCAGTAGAGTTTAGAGAATGTTGGTGTCAGTGTTGTTCTGGTTTTAAGGATTTCCAGTATGTGTGTGTCAAGTGAAGATCCTGTGATGGGTCAGGTGTGGGTGTGTCAAGGGAGGGTCCTGTGATGTGTCTTGTGATGGGTCAGGTGTGGGTGTGTCAGGTGAAGGTCTTGTGATGGGTTAGGTGTGGGTATGTCAAGGGAGGGTCCTGTGATGGGTCAGGTGTGGTTGTGTCAAAGGTTTTGTGATGGGTCAGGTGTGGGTATATCAAGGGGGGGTTGTGATGGGTCAGGTGTGAGTCATCAGTGAGAGGCTTGGGATGGGTGTTGGAATGAGGAGGTTACATGAGATCAGGCTCTTTGGGAGATGAACAGCCAACCAGAGACAGCACCAACCTTCAACCATCCCGTGCAAGCCCCCAATCCCACCAGCAGTTCACCTCCCAATGGCCTTGACCTGAAGTAACCTCCCCATCACAAGACCCATCACAAGTCTCTCACCGATGACTCACACCTGACCTATCACAAGGCCCTCACTTGACAAACCCACACCGGAAGCCCTTATAAACAGAAGAACACTGACATCTCATAAACTCCACTGATGTCACCTAGCCTGGTAACAAAATGTTTGGAAACCAACCCACAAGCTCAGAGAATGCACCTTCACCCTCATTACATCAGGACTTTCCAACCTTGGCAACTTTATGAGTTGTGGACTTTAGTTCCCAGAATTGCTCAGCCAGCTATGAAATCTTCAAATCATAAAGTTGCTAAGGTTGGAGACCCCTGGCTTACATAGCTTACATGCCCACATATTGGTTAGAGGTGTTTGCTGGGGCAAACCCAGTCTGTTTGGGTTAATTTATGGTCCCATCTATTGTGTTGCGACACAATAATGTTAAAACAATCTTACAGGTGCGTAGACAACAGAGAACTGGACAGGGAAATTAAGAAGTGCATGAAATTCAAATCCATTCTGTGCTTGCTCCTCATTTCCTCTCTGGCAATAAACTTCAGGGACCTCGGAGATTCTGGCTTGTTATATAATGTCTGGTTGATTCACAAGTTTGAAGGATGTCTTGATAACATCTGTGGAGATGCTCAATCATCCAAGTCATGGTTGTCCCATAAAAGCCCTGGGGGCGCAGTGGTCAGAATGCAGTACTGCAGGCTACTTCTGCTGACTGCCAGCTGCCAGCAATTCGGCAGTTCGATCCTGACCAGCTCAAGATTGACTCAACCTTCTGTCCTTTCGAGGTCAGTAAAATGAGGACCCGGATTGTTGGGAGCAACTGGCTGACCCTGTAAACTGCTTAGAGAGTATAGTGTTCAAAGCAACTACATGGACATGTTCATAAAGTTACAGAGAGTTAAGTTAACTCTAAGGAGGCTTTACTATTTGTCTGTGCTGGCTAAGATGCAGTCATAATAATTTTGCCTTTGGAGGAAAGTCCCTTGTCCTCGTGATGAGCTGGGGCAAAATGATTTGTTAGCAAAGAGTGTGGATGTTTTTTTTTTCACAAGGAAGGTAGCCGAGGAGCTGGAAACAAAGCTAACAAGCCAGACTTTTTAGGAGAAAAAAAAAAATGATTCAGAAATGTGGATGGAAACACCCATGTAGGTAAAACACCGCTCTTTCAGTTCACATCTGTGTGTTCGGATAGGATTGTTCAAATTATCTAAACTGTGACAAATATCTGGGGCATTTAAAGGGGAAAAGGTGGGTTGTGATTTTATGTCCCTGATGCTGGCAAAATCAAAGGTCTTAACAGGGTTTTCACCCAGGAAGCCTCACATATCATTTCATGTAACTCAAGAGTGTGGAAAATCCTACACAAATGATTGGAAGAAGCTACATGATATTAGCTAATTAGACAGCCCCGATGGGTTTCATTTGTTCTCTTAATGGATGAACCATTACAAAATTGATTTTTTTTTTTTTTTAAGGCTTCCTTCCTCCCAGTAAATGTTGAATTTAAACATGCCTGAATACAACTAGGAAATGATGTTGGCTTTACAGAAACCATGGTAGAAGTATTTTTTTTTTAAAAAAAAAAATGATTTGTTACCTGGGTGTATAACTGTATTTGCTGGCAATCTGATGGCTGCCGTGGGAAAAATGCCAATGGCTTTTGCTAAACCTTTGGACTGCCAACTGGATATATCAAGCAAATTTATTTCTGACACTGGGTAACCTATGTGCGGATGAATCCTAGTTGAAGACTAGGACATACCTAAGAAAAGGCATGTCTTAGAACAGATGAGTAGAAGTCTTAGTGAAACTTGAGCCATCTGTTTTATGGAGATGAGGGAGCAAATATACAAAGGGTCTTTCTGATGAAGAGTTTCCTTAAGTATGCAGTGTGGGGAGAAAGGTCTCAGCTAGCATTGTCCATGGAAGACTGTTTATATGCACGTGCAAATTATGTGTTTGCATGCAAGAGACAAAGATGCTCAAAGAGTCCTTTCTAGTTGACTTCCGTCGACGAAGGCCCAACAGCATGTCAACGTTCTGTTGCCGTTTAGTCCTATTGAGAGTTTCTGTCAATGCTTTAGAAGTTGCATCTTCCAACAGACGTGGGCCATGGATGCCTGCACACTTGACAAGGGCTTCACCAGCTGTCTTCTCTTTCTGTTGTAGCTGCTTCCCGAACTCACAAATCCCGATGAGTTACTTTCCTACTTGGATCCTCCTGACTTACCAAGCAATAGCAACGATGACCTTCTCTCTCTTTTTGAGAACAACTGAAGCCTTCTGCATTTCACTCCCGAGACCTTTTGACACACAACCCCCATAGCTTCACAAGCGAGGAATCTCGAGTTACTCTTTCCCACGAGGACAAGCTCACCGCTTGAGCGTACAGCACACACTCCTTCCTTCCTTCCTGCACCTCGGACCTGCTCAAGTCCCAAGTTCGGATCGTGACAGTGGAGAGAAGCAAGAGGGACAATCTGGGGTTGACCTCTTAGACTGCTGGGCCACATCGCAGACCGTTCGTACAGCTGTGGGAAACCTCTCTCTTTGGGCTCGTTCTGCGGAGCGAAAGAGTGGACAACTTTGGGGATATCCAGCAAGGAGCATCCCAACTAGTCCCAGCAAGGGAAGAAAGAAGCAGCAACAAGTCCATCCTTGACCAGTTTCAGAGTGTCTTTCCAGCCGGTGTTCTTCCATACATCTCCTTCCTTTGGCTGTAATGTCTATTCCACTCGGTCCTCCCCAAGTTATGCAGATTCCAGTCTATTTGTCAGACGAAATAAGGACTACCGTTGGCAGCACAGAAAAGACTTGGAATTCGAAAATACCAAAAAGCACAAAGTAATCAGTCACGTCACAAGTAGGGTACACATACAACATGTATCAGAGGGTGACATCAGACAGTGGGGCTTCCCCCCCACCCCCGTGATGGGAGAGTCCTGTGAAATCTCCAGGTTTTGGCAAGCGTATTTTTTTTCTTTTGTTTTCTAGCCAATTGTAGCATCTTTTATTTAATCGCTCTTGTGGGCAGAGCAACTCTCTCCCTTTACACAATGCGTTGTGGTCCGACTTCTCGTGTGTTTTTCGACAAACGTTTTCTCTCAGTTGATGGTCTTTTTGGGTAAGAGAACAGCCAGTTCCCTGGGGGAGGGGAAGGGAAAGGAAAGAAAAACGGGAGAAAAGCGAGAACCTTATTTGCATACGAAGTAATAAGAAAAGCCTGCAAAAATATTAGCCGTGAGGATGTTCTCTTTACTCAGACAAGTTAGAAAATTGCTCAGTTCCTACAGGAGACAGGAAAAGGGAAGGGACAGGAAAAAAGACCCCCTTGCAAAGAGAGGGAAGGGGTTCAAAGTCAAAATGGCCACCATAACCAGGGGATCAAAACTCTGCCCCTTTTTAACCTGCAGGGTGCGGAATGGGACAACTTGGTGCAGCTAACTCACCGCAGTCAACTCGCCATGGCCACCTCACCATGGCCATCTCACTGCAGGACAGTTCAACAATTCAATTTAAGTTGTCAGATGTCCAGCTAGCAAATCCAAGAGGGGAACTCCTTGGATATCCTTCTTCCCAAAATTAACATTTTTATTGAATACACTAGCCTGGCACAGTAGAAGCAAAACCCAGCTCTGGTTTTCCCACTCAACATCCACACGGTTAAACTTGAATTCCCCTTGGCCATTCCCCTCAGTCCACGGAGTTGTCCAATCGAATACGCTCCTTTTGTTCTGGGAACACCTACGCAGCGTGACCTTGAAGGGAGGAGCAGGGTCTCATGGGCTGCAATTGGCGAGCCTTAGCAATCCATTCCCATCCCGGACATGATTAGAAATTTCTTCTTGGCTCTCAACTTGACATATGTATTTAAAATAATTTGAAAGTTATTTTAATTTTTCCCCTTTGCACCTCCATTTGTCCCTCCTTTGGCCTCCTTTCTTTAACGATTCTATTCCACCATTTCTTCGATATTAGTGTAGCTCTCGTCCCATGGCGAGTTAGGCCACAGCGTGTTGTCCCAGACCCTGAAGGGTGGGAGATGCAAGTTAAAAAAAATAAAAGCGGTAGGTTTCCATCCCAGCTAAAATCTTGACTGTTTGGACCCATCCGATGGCCCTGTCCACTCAGCCCAAACCAAGAGAGGAGAAATTCATTTTGAGGAATTGAAACTGGCATTTATGTTAGGAGAAACGTCAAATAACCCTAACAGCTTGTCTTGGGTTTCCTAGACCAGCGGTTCTCAACGTTTGTGTGACGGCGACCCCCGTCACACAAACGTTCTGCGCATGTGCGGCACGGTGCCGCCCCCATGCGCAGCACGCATGCGCGGCGCCGCCCCCTGAGGGGAGAAAATGGCGGATCGCCTTCTTTGGCGACCCCCGAAAAATGGTCGATCGACCCCAAATGGGGTCGCGACCCATAGGTTGAGAACCGCTGTCCTAGATTGTGTTGTGATTCATCCTTTTGATCTTGTGTTTTAACATTTTACCTGCCAGCACCTCTCCCCCTTATCTTATTTTATTTTTTATTTTATTATTTACTTCTTTCTTTCTTTCTTTTTAAAAATGTAGATTTTCAAGGATATTGGGCATAGGGAAAAATTAGTCATTCTGGTGCAATTTTCCAGCCAGTTCCCATCCAAATGCTTCACTGGTACTTGTGATTCTCCCTCAGTTGCTTCCTTCCTGCATGAGCTTCCGGTCACTTCTGGGCCCACTGTTGTGCTGTCGTCCTCTTTTTATAGATTGTGTATAGTAAACTGTGTTTGAAAAAAGTACATGTGTGCCAGCTGCTCTGTCTGAGGCCAATATTTCAACATCTGCCTTCTGTGTATAGATATTTCCTTCCTTCTTTCCTTCCTTCTTCCTTCCTTCCTTCCTTCCTTCCTTCCTTCCTTCCTTCCTTCCTTCCTTCCTTCCTTCCTTCCATTCTATTCTCTTTCTCATCCATTTCCCTTCCTTCTTCTCCTTCCCTTCCTCCCCTCTTCTTCCCATCCCTTCCTTCCTTCCTTCCTTCCTTCCTTCCTTCCTTCCTTCCTTCCTTCCTTCCTTCCTTCCTTCTCCTTTCCCTTGCCATAAGGTAAATAAATAAATCTCCTTTTCCTTTCTCTCCTCTCCTTCCTCTCCTCTTATCAAAACGGCTCCCGTCCCTATCCAGAATCAAATCAAATATAGAAATATTTGATTTCAACACTAGGCTGTCGGATTTTGGCCAGGGGTTCTCTGGCCTGTTGATTTCCATGTGTGAGTTCTATCAACCTCTTCTTAATGGCGTGATAAAAGTTAAAACTGTGCATCCATCCTGCATTTCTTCTCCTCGCTGAAGTCATGCTTGTAAATTCTTGGAGCATCTGTTCCACCCCCACTGCTGTCTATGCATTTTGAGACATATATATATGCATAGATATAGATATCTATATATCTATATATCTCTCTTTATATATAGAGAGAGAGATGCGCTAACCCACAGCATCTGGCTGTGGCTAAACAGGAAATGGCAGTTTTAGTTCCTCTCTTCTTGTCCAACAGAAGTGTTGACTTCTAAAAATATTTTATCTAGACCTGTTCTAGCGTTTTACTTTTGCTCCAGTTCTCTCTCTCTTTCTTTTGCCTTTTAAAAAAGTGCTGTTCATTATGCAAAATCAATTATTTTAAGAATCGATCTTGTAAATATCTTTTGTGAATATTTTAGCCTTGTCATCGATTGTAATAGCCAACACTTTTTTACACGTGTTTTTAAAATACATAGTCTTTTTTTTTTTTTTTTGCATTCTTTGTTCCCCCTGTCCCCAGATAAAGGAGGATTTTAAACTAAGGGAGCATTTATTTCTCTTTTTGATCAATTAGTCCCTATACATTTGTAAACTCACATGATCCATACGGCCAGGCGAAAAATGAAAATAGCCAAGAATTATGACTGTCATAACATAGATCACCTGCTTCATAGACAAATATGTTATTTTCTTTTTTTTAAAAAAGATCCTTGTTTAAATCATCTGAGAATTATCCTTTATCCACACATAAGAGAAAGCCTGGCATCTGATATACCTTATAGTGCTTAGGGCTATAGATGACAAATCGTGAGAACAGAAACTAGAAATGCGGGAGGTTTTTCTTTTTAATCTAAGACATTTCCCCAAATTTATGCATCCTTATTTGTGATCACTGAACATCAGGAACAGCCACGTATGGTTGCCCACACAAGCTTAGTAAAATAAAATAAAAATGCTATTTTTTTTTTTTTAATGTCTGTCAACAGAGACCTTGAGTGTCTTCAGCTCAATGGATGCAATTTGTTGCGGGTCAATCTTAAGCCATAGACTAAGTGCTGTGTAATTCTACAAAACGGCCCCTTTATTATTAAGCACATATCTGTTCGAACGAGTACTTGAATCCATATTTTTTTCCCCTCTTGTTTTTCTGCGTTAACTGGAAACCAAACTATTTTAAAAACAGGTGTGTTGAAGGATTACAGTTTGTCTCATACGGATCTAGATGAAACCTGTAAAAAGTAACTTTTTTTTTTTTTTAAGGAAGCATAACAAGAGGAAAAACATCTACGACTGAGTTTGTTGTTGGTATAAGGCTTCCCTTATTTGAAGGTTTGTCTCCTCGAATAACAGAAATTAAACCTGCATTGTGGACAGGGATAGATGTTACGTGTGGTTGATTTGGTATGCAAAAAAAAGAAGAAGCATATTTATTGAACACGGAGTCTGTGCAGCTAAGTTGATGAATAAGGTTTGGATTTGGTCAAAATAGCATGCTTTGCAAAATCAGCCTAGAAAGCCCTGGATTTGTGTACACACACACACACACACACACACACACACACACACACGAACAAACACACCAATAAACACAAATGATTCATCAGCATATTATTGTCTTTCTTTACGCTGGGAAAAAAAAATAAACAAACTACACTGCCATCCTGTTAAAATAACTGAGCATCTCTAGTAAACAGTGTGAAGTCCTTAAAAGTCAGTCCTGTTAAATTCAGTGCAACTTACTCTCAAGAAACATAAGTTAATGGCCTTAATGAGGTTTTTTTTGTGTTGAAAAGCAAATTTATATATTCCTAACCAGAAGTGTTTTGGCCCCCCCACACACACACACACTCACACACACACACACACACACACACACACATAGAGTTTGTTGTTTTAGGGGCATTTTGTTTGAGTTTTCACGTTTTTAAATTTTTCCCAATAGTTACCTACTTGGAAAAACATACACAAAGATTTATAGTTCTACTGCCAAGGCATTATTATTATTATTGTTGTTATTGTTATTATAGGATGTTAAAAACACACACAGAGTAGTGTCTGCAGTGGAGACTCCAAGCGGCATCTGTACATATGTAAATGGAAAATAGAGACATGTTAACAGAAACGCATTCATTTTCCTTGGATTGTGTATTGTTTTTATTTTACAGGAAAAAAAATAAAGCTTGAAGATCCATCTTATGTGGAAAATGAATCCTGTTTGTTAGCGTTTGTGAAGTCTCCACCTTTTTGTTTCATTTTCTTGTAATATACTCTGAATCTTTTGTGGGGGAAAAAAAGTTGCATTTGTTCTGTTTGGTTTTGTTTTACCTTCATGTAATAATTAGCTTAAGTGTATTAGTCTTTATCACCTGTGTATTTTTAGGGTGCTAAAAACAAAATAATGAAGAAAATAAGGGGATTAAATAATAATAATAATAAAAGAGAGATTGTAGCCAAATTCATACTTTGTACAATTTTTTGATATCGTGATCCGATTGAGAATTAAAAAAAAGTACAATCTGAATTAACATGCAAAAATGGCCATTTGTCTTTGTTTGTACATTGTATGTACAGTACAATTCCAATCATTTCATACTTTAAAACTGGTCAGAGAAACAGTTGTGATTTTTAGTCTTGCAAAATTGTATGTAGTTAGATGATGTGACAACCTAATATTTATCTAATAAATATGTATTCAAATGAAACCTGTACATTAGGCGTTCATGTCGTTATTTTGTATTTTTTAAAAAAAATATCAGATTGATTATTGCTAGATGTTTATATACCGTACTTTCTTGTAAACCGGAAAGCATTTTTTCTCATTTTTTTGCTCATGTTACTTTTCCTTTTTCCTAAATAAATTTGGAAAAATATTTGGATCCATCCCTGGACAGCTGTTTTGTACATGTCCAAGCTTCTCTTTTTGATTTTATACAAAGAAAAATAATTGTAAGACACCACCGTACAACTTGTCCTTGACTTAAAACTACAACTGGGCCCAACATTTTGGTTGATAAGTGAGACGTTAAGTGAGTTTTGCCCCGATTTTACGTTCTAAGTGTGACAACGGTCATAAGTCACCTTTTTTTCAGCGTAGTTGTGACTTTGAATGGTCCCTAAACAAACTTGTAAATCGAGGGCTGTATTCATCCTTTACAGTCATGTACATTTAATTATGCACTGCAGGAATTCTCCAACTTTGCCAAATCACATCCCTCTAAAATGAAGAACTGTTGTGTTCAGCCTGTCTCCTTGCACAAAAAAAAATGTGATATTCCACTGGATTTTGGCTTAGGCAAGAGTTAAACAGATCACTTGGCGTTGTGGCTATGTAATCTGTGTTATCAGATGAAAGGATGATAAGGCTCAAACTGAAGAAACTAAAAGGTAAAACCCTCTTTTATAAATAAACTGCGTTGGAATTGCACCCAGAAGTCAAAACAAACTACCTGCAAATGCATTTTTAAAGTCTTGTCTATGCTTAATATGTTTGAGACAAGCCATTATTTGCTCCAAAGATCCTCTTGTAGGCTTGGATAAAGTGGGGGAAAAAAAATCTCCTTTTCTTACAAATCTCCCAACAATGATATTCCTAAAGCCAATAAATTCTAACACATCTTTTCTAACTTTATAGCGTTTTAAAATGGATGTAAACGAAGGAGTTTCCCCCCTTCTTTTAAGGTTAAAGAATCTGAAAAAGCATGGTGAATTTTATTAATAGAAACGTTGATTAGTCGGTCAAGATTAATAAGTGCAAACAGAAATACAGTATATATTATTTACCACA